ATCGTGGGCCACCTACTTTGAGATTCCGTCTGAACAAAGCGACATGGAGTGTAATGTTATCCAGGGTGATGGCCCTTCGAATAGTTACGATATCTGAGTCGAAGGGATCATATTTACCTTTGTGATATTGGGGCGTGGCCTAATGTTAATCCTTTCGTTTAATTAGCTGTAATAGTTGAAAGGGTATTCCTTTGCTTTTTGCATCATGGACTACTCCTACCCCTTGAATTTGCTCAATGTGTTTTGCATACATACCCATGCTTCACACTAAATACGGTAATCATATGGAATGGAAGCGACTGTACAGAGAAATAGTCCTTTTACTCCATGGAAGTTAGAAGAATCATGACTACGTAAGAACATATGGTGCCTTGAAACATGCTCCCTGTTGAAAGTGATGTTTACTTAAACAAATGCGCACTCGTTCTTTCCTTCATGACTTCTAACGACCTCTGAGATTGCAGAGAAGTCCATACGGGCTGCACAGTTTCACAGTCAAATTCAACCACTGGATGCTTCGGATTCTGCTCGAGTATCACGCGTAGTATGGTAGAGGCAAGTGGAGTGTATAAGAGAGTCTGATGAGCTCTGAATCTGTTTTCCAACTCTTGCCATATTCAGTGCACTATATACTCTTTACATTTTTTATCACCTATGAGTGAGGGGCACCATCAGAGTTGTTGGAATTTCAGCTAGATGAAGTAATATGTTCCCCAAAGATTGCGTCTTGACTATTGCAAGTTCTCATTAGGCTTATCTAGAAGGATGTGAGCATGGAATTGGTCCAAGTGCTTGCATCCATTGCAATTGGAAAGATTCTTTCATCAACTAGTCAAGTGCTAGGTGCTAGTCATGATGATGTACGAATGGAGCATAATATGGAGTACCCATTGAACACAAATTATTGTAACATGTTAATCATACTATGATATTTCAACATTGTTACTTGTGGTGGCATCTTTGGTAACTAGTTTGGATTTGCCAAAATGTGAATATATGATACTATACCATCAAGCGTTTCAGCATTCACAGAATTTTTACATATTTAATTTCTAGAATTCATGCATAGATTGAAAATGCATTTAGTAACACAACATCGAATAAATATTCTTGGAGTGAAAGTAGGGTATAAAGACTTGCGATGAATAAACACACCATTTGGTGATGTGTAACTATACTAGATGATCACATGATGCACTTGATATAATCTCTACTTTCCAATCAAATCAATTTTCCTTTACATGATTCAATTCACTCTTAACAATGTTGTAATGCTTATCATGATGATCCATGTTGACTTCATGGGATTATGATATTATACTTGACATTGAGATTATATATATCTCAAGTTTGTGTGAAGACTAGTTTTATTATTTATGGAGAGGAAAATATAAACATTAGCTGGTTTGTCACATCTTCAATGTAGCAAGTCAATTTTTTGGATGAAATTTCATTTTATGATTTTATAACATTGTATACAAGGTACTATATGCTCGTTGAATTTTCTTACAAATATCATCACAAAATGATAAAATATTGTAGTTCTCAACAACGTAAATTTATTTCTTGATTTCATTATTTATCGATTGAATGTAAAATGTGCATCCAAATTCATCATGATAAATCAACAATCTTAATAAGCTCTGCGTTTTTTCTTTGCAATTCCGATCAATCTTTTGTATCTACATCACTCTTGTTCATCAAAGCATGTTGGCTTGTCTATCTTGGATGCACTGTGCAGCTCATTTTTTGTTCATAATAACTACGTTAAATTTTTAACTACGTAAAATTTTTGTTCATAATTTTACCCACATTGAATTTCGTCTTCATCTTAATTTTGTTCATCTATATGCATCTTAATTTTTCATATGAGAGTTTGATATTGCATTGAATGTAATGATGATGGATATGAATTCTTATCTATTTGATATCATATGATTTTCGGTCATGATCTTTTAAAATTGTGTTCTTTGCAATGATAAAAAATGATCAATAAATCACAAGAATTGAAAGTTGGTATAGGCTGCAGTCAAGACCAGTTAGATCAATACTATAGTTGATTTGTTTGGAAGAAACGAATGTTGAAATAAAATTGGTTGTATTTGTTTGTTTACAGTGAAGGTTGGTATGCATTGCAATTTACTCAAATTTCTTTGATATTTTTTGTGAGAGGACAGTGGGCCCGGAGTGGACTTGGTGGAGCCAAGACTTCTAAGTATTATCTGTTTTAGAGAGGTCACTTCGTTTTTCTAGGTTGGAGTCATATCAACCTAAGCGCCACAAAGTTGAAATCTTCATGAAAGTCTAGAATATTAGTCTCCATGAAAAAATTGTGTAATCTATCACAATGAGTGAGTATCGACGGTAGTGCAATTCTCATTAGATAATTTAAGTTAAATGATGATTCTTCTGGGATGTTCAAGCAATAATTGGAGAGTGTATGAAGCTTAAGCATACTATAACATATTCCCGTTATGGCCGACCCCATGGCATCACAATGGGAAGAAAGCGAAGTACGGGGCATGTCCCAAACCGTAATATTTTTCATTGAAGTATACCGTATGAACTGGTTGTGAGGTAGTATTTTTTATCTGGAGAAAATTGTATTGAGAAAAATAGCAGTTTTACCAAAATACAAAAGCGCCACGAATGTTGTTCGGCAAGACAAATATCTACTGTAGAGAATTGTAAGGAAGGACGTAGAAAGAGGCAAGGAAGAGTAAGAGGTACGCATGGAATGAAAGGAAGGTCCGAGGGACTGACCGGGTGGCAGGGAAACTGACCAACTGACCGCAGTAGGGTACAACTTTTGTATGCTCATCTGAATCTACTGACCATGGTCGGTGTGGCCACTGTCGACCCGGAGAGGAGCAGCAGCAGCAGCAGCAGTACGTCTAGCGTACGTCTCTCGGCCTCTACTCTAGAAACGCCCTCGCGCCAATCAGTGCCACGGGCGTCCAAAACCGCGGTCAACTGACGAACCACGTAAACACTCACCGAGCCTAGAGTAGACTGATTAGGCCTCGGGGTCAAAAAGCGGACGGGAAAGTGGATTATTGACTCGCGCAAGGAGGCTGCGGATACTCGGGGCCCCCTCGGAACCAACGAAACAAAATCGGAGCGAGGCGGTTCGGACGAGAGCAGACGAGCGCGCAAGCGCTAAGACGAGAGAACCGTTGATCGGAGGAGAGGGCGTGGGTGGGGGCATAAAGAATTCAGACATCATTATATATCTGAGAAGGCGAATGAGCCAATCGCTAGCCCCGGAGCAAAAGCATGCACGACTTCAGTACGTGCATTGAAGGCCTTCATGGCGGATCGGTCCACCTACGTATACAGACACCAGTTATCGGAGCCCCGCACCATACACCTTACCCGCTCGGGCGCCCGCCCGCCCGCCCGCTTTACTGCACAGCTCACGTCGCCGCAGAGGACGACGCTCGAGCATGCACTGGAGACAGGCGAGGGGCAGCTTTGTCGTTTCGTCATTTAGCCCTCCGGTGCTCTCCCTCTCGCTCTGAGCCCGGCGCCTCCACTCCTACCTAGTACCGCTCCACCGGCACTCGGTAGGCTAGCCAGCCTTGCCCGCAGTCGTCGTCTAGTCGTCCGTTGGGTGTAGGGTGTAACGTGTAATTCACAAGAGTCTTGTGGCCGGGGGTTGACATGGGGTGGCGGGGGTATTCCAGCTTTCCTGACGCCGGGCCTGACCGGCTGACGGGGCGACTTGACTTGAGTCAGACGGGCGTCCGAGTGGGGGAGAAGGTTTATGTATCGCCTGGAGAGCTTGGGCGCTCGGAGGCCGGCAGAGCCGGATGCCCGATGCTGATGCTGGCTGGCTGGGCCGAGGACGGGCTTATTCGAAAGGCGGAGAATATTCGTCGCGCTCCACCGCCATCAATGCGTCGCAACGAACTTTGACCGGGTCGAATGCGGGAGCCGATCGTCGGCGAAGATCCATCTCAAGCGGGTCACCGGTACGACGCCATGGCAATTGGCACCAGGAAGATTCTGCAGCCTTTCCTTCTAAATTTGGCACCGATCCATGGCCTTGCGCTTCCATGTGCCTGCCGTACGTACATCCGTCTTCCGAACCAACGGACGGAAGGTCGACGGACCTGCAACCTGTCTGGCAAGATTCTCGAGGGCGAACCGATAGCACTTGGACGACTCCAACGCAGCCCTTGTTGACATTGCGCGCTGGGCCCAGTCTCCGGCCCGTCAACAATGCTCTGCAGTAGTCAGCGCTGTGGGCAGGGCTGGGCTGGCAAGGGTCATCGGGCCCATCTTCAACTGGAGTTCGGGCCCGTAAGCTAGCTAGCCGACCGGCGTGTGCCTGCACATTACGTTTTCTGGGACCGAGAGCCCGATCTGATGAATCGAGTCGCTGCTTCTTCGAAGCATCAGTCCGTAAATTTGCTACCCTGTGGCGACGATGCTCGTCTCTTCTACCTCAGGTCGGTCGCTTGGTCGGCGAGGAGATGGACAAGTTCTCGCTGACGGACTGGCATCTACTCTTGTATCTTAGTGAGTGGTGAAAGCCGAAAAGACGAATCCACACACAATATTGAAGTGCGGTCGTCATCAGACGCCATTCCAATCGTTGTGGGGTCGATTTGTTATATTCTTCTGATTTCGACTTATGAGCAGAGCGTTAGAGGAAAAAAAAGTCGGATCTTTGACTTCGGTGAGTAGGAGCTTCTGCTGATGTTCGATCGGTATATGACGATGGATAAGGTGGCAGATAGTGATCTGTACAGGTGAATTTCTCAGGCATGGCCTGAGAATCTCTGATAGAATGTCAACATCTTCTGTGAGAGAAGATTCTGAGAATATCAGAATCTCCTGATTTGGGCGGCAACAAGAGTGAGGATGTGAGGGATCGTTGGCAAAAGGAGCCACCTTTTCAATTACGGCGGAAAGTGGACCAAGGGCCGCGGAGACAGACTAGGCAAGAAGAAAATTCAAAACAGGGCTCTTCCCAAACATTCTACCCATTCGGAGAGCTTCAACAAAACGCCTTGAACTATTCATGAGCTTTACAATAGAGAAGACCGATGAAGTCGCTGTGCTTTAACAGCGTTAAGGTAATTCCGAAAATGCTAGAAGAGTCTACTGGCTAGCGGGCCTGCCCTCTGCTTCACTTGAGCGGTTCCTCACTTGAGCGGTTAAAGATTGATGGTGACCCATCCTCTTCAAAGATCGTGCTTCACTCTGTCCTTCTTCGTAAATTTCCCCAAGTTGCCATCTAGGTCGCAGATCAACCTGTCATGGTCCATCAAAAAGTGCCCATCTTCAGTACTTAAGTACAGTGCCCAAATTAAAACAAAACCACAGGAGTGAACCACACAAACTTTTGCTAAGTAACTAGCCTGCACCATCCAGCGTACGCAGAGAAGAAAAATCATATTCGTATAATCTCTAAACCTAACAAGTCCCAAATACCATACCCGAACATCATCTGGTTCATCTTGGTCTGGTGGCTCTTCGAACATTCCCAATCGTAAATGCTCTACGCCAGCCCAGGCTACCATAACTCCTGATTCGAAAGAACGTGCCATGAGTCAAGCCCAGCAGTCGAGTCGACATACTTGCGAAAAGTAGGGTATAATAAGATGTTAAACCTCCCAAGCTCTCTCAAATGATCTAAAACCTTAAAAATGGCTTTGAGAAAATCTACCTTGTAAAGGACGGCTTTCTCTGTACTTAATGGAGAAATATCTTTCTTAAGAATCATTCGACCATTAAAAAACATTAAGAACGCGTACATACCATTATCTGTACACAGCCGTGGTGGCGGACAGACAAGCTGAAGATCCAGCTCAGAGGCCAGAGCACCAAGTCTGCTGCGAACGGTATGATTCGAGGCAACTCCTCCGGAAACAACCTGGAAGAAAAGTGTAGGCAGTTAGAGTATGTCAAAACTACCAATACTGAAGAGAGTGTCAACGATTCATGAACGAGTGAGTTCACTTACAAGGCTAGTCACTGACGGTGCCAATCTGCGAGCCCACTCAACAGCTCTACGACATTTGTCCTCCAAATGTTGGACAGCTACCCTCTGTTGAAAACAAGGGACTTGGCAAGATAAAATATCTCCACCGGTTACACGAAAATCCGAGAAACACCCGCATAAATGAAATCCAAGCAAGAAGCAAAACTTTGCGGCTCGCACACAAACTGAAATCCACATGCTGGCCGTCACATTTCGTTTTCCTGACATCACATCGTTAGAGATCTCCCCAGTGAAGAATATTCTAGTCCAACGAGGATTACCGGATCCCTCCTGCGCTACAAGTTTCCGCCTCAAGCTACCTTCGGTACAGACACGGATCTCATTCTTAAGACCACATTTGAAGTCCTTTTTATTGCTGTTGATTGGTGAATTTAACCATAGTGAAAGTGTCTATAAGCAACCCAAATATCTCGTAATAACAGCTTGGGAGACGAACTGATAACATTTTGTAATAAAGTCATAATTCTTCAGTTTATCAACATCAGATTTCAATTGATTTCGTCAAACGTTACTAATGAAGATTGGTTCTCCTATCATTGAAGCAAGTGTCTCGTCCACTTTCACACTGAGTCTCAATTAGATGTGGAGACAGCAGGAATTCAATAACGTTGTAAAAGGAAAAGGGGAAAAATTTCCACTCACATTGTGCAAGACACAATCTGCGGTTCGGATAGAGAAACGCAAAATACAGTGCAACTTGGTATGCGCTCCTACAAGAAGACGTGCGAGATAATATATAGATATGGCTACAGATAAGAAGGTATAAGTAGGGGATGTGGTTGTAACAGATACTCGCCCGAGACTGCTCGTTCATAAAGAGATGGGTTTTCCGGTCGTGCTGCCCTTTCTGGTGCCACCAATTCCCTTAAAAAAATATGTGGAGTTGATACTCGTTTGCCCTCAGGACGATTGGGAACAAAAGATAGAGCAGTAATGAAGAGGAGGAAGGACTAGGATTGAGTATGGGGGGATCCATGTTACGGAGAGTTTCCATGCATGCTATCGTTCCCCAAATCGTTGTCCTTTTCCCGTGGTATCATCGTAAACTTCCGAAGAGCCCTGGCAAAGACCATAGACTCTCCTAACACTGACATCTGGAGGAAGATATTAAGTCTAGGAAACACTAAACATTAGTTTACCAAAGTATTGCTAAGTTCTAAGGTAATTTGTTCACGGTTTTTACAGAACTTCTGTACTCCTGTAACTAACGCTCCGCTTACGTTCCTCATTGTAAGGCCAAATGATGCCTCTCAATCTCTTCATTCATGTGTATAGTCCCCAGATTTAAATTCTTCAAAATAAGTGAAAGATCCATCATTCCCACGATTTCACCAGAAACTTCGAAACATGCATGATTTTGGGAACAAAAGACAGGACAGGCTTACTTGAAAAGAGGCTGCAATATCTGCACGAATCTGTCGATCTTCAGCGGTAGCCACTGATAAAGGAACCTCATCACCGTCACTGACAGATTCCCATCAAAGAAACTTGTTAGATCACATTGGAGGGCTTTCGAAAAATTGTGATCTAAAAAGACGAGACGATTCACTGATACAAGAAGAAAATTACCTACGCCTTGCTCAGGGTATGAACAGATATGAAGCAGCAAATATTAGACATAAGTCTACCCCAAAGCGTTATCTACAGGAAGCTCACAGAACTCAATCTGAACATAACCTGCCTTACTCCTGTGCTACGATCTAAAATCAAGTAGATAATCCAATAGTAGCTTAGACTAATCGAGAAATGGTATGAACAAACACTCCAAACTTGTGATATAATAGGGTAAAACATTGATCATACCGATAAAAACCGGCAGAGGAGAGAACCCAACGTTAGAAAAACCAAGGGAAACGAAAGTAGTCAAAGAACAATATAGAATCAGATATGGTTAATGGTTAATGGGTAATACACATTTCACTAACAGTATATTTCTTTCCGACGACAGTAGTTTCGGCATGTGAGAATGGTTCGCCAGTAAAGATTTTGTCTCGGAGTCCCAGAAAATCCATCCGGTTAGCTTTGATTATACCACTCGCAACAGGTAGGGAAGCAAGAAAGAAAGATAACCACGAGGTAAGTGATTCTCACATGTTTCTAGCCTCAATTGCCATTCGCACTTGATTCTTCAATCCTGCATAGGAGAAGTTGCAGTTCAAGTACCTTGGACCTCTCATTGGAACCTGGAAAGAATACAAAACTTGTTGAGGCAGTATGCACCAAAACACAAGCAGGACCCGTAGATGTAACCTACCAAACCTAGTAAGTTGACTGAGAAAGTCGGTGTGAAGACAAAAGAGTCAATTGTATACAGTTTCACAAAGGAGGTACAACCAACGATAATTACCATCCTGTAAAAATTTGAATACTCAGAGTAACCCTCTTCCAACACTTAAAGCAAGATAAAAATGTCCATTGCGCTCATTGTGGAATGAACATACCGCAAATTACATCATTGAACTAGTGCCTTGATAACTGAGACAAGTGAGACTCAAGAATTAAGATAGGAATCAGTATTGTAGAGATTCTTACTGAGAACTTAATCGCCTTTGGGTCTCCCTCCCGTGCAAGTTCTTCTAAAGCAGGTCCACCTCCCTTTTTCATGTCAAGGCCCAATAACCGTGCTGTTTTATCATACGCCTGGATATAAAACATATGCTACTCAGAATAGGTATCTACAACCGAAGTGGCTTATATGAAAGCAGCAACAAACCCCCTTGCCGTGCATATGGTGATAACATGGAGCAAAACTATCAACAATCATGATCTTGCAACCTTGTGACCTGACGTAAGCAATCTTGTGCTTCCCAAACGTGACAAACCGATTACGCCATCAACTCCTGGGTGTCACTCATCGTTACCTCTCCTATGGCATCATCTACGGTTGTGCCGAGTTGAACATACTGGCCAACATTTTGAGCGAGCAACAGAAGATTGTGTCCGCCTAAAAACCAAATCACGAGAGATTATATGATGTACGTTCACGTTTCATTCAAACAATCATCAAACCATTGGATCTCGTCAAAACATCTCAGCATCGTTAACAAAGTAAGTTATCCAAATGAAGATGGGTTCGTTCATCTGGCCAGCTCAGTCATTTTCAAAGTAGAACATGGTGTATCACGTCTGAGAAACAAAATCTAAGATCTAAGGCGGATGATATAAACTCACCGGAGACGAGAAGAACAATAAATGGGAACTCCACATGTTTTTCGATAAGTCTACAAAGATAAAAATGAAGTAGTGTTAGTCCGTGACAAGCAGGATATCAGATAAGGAATAAAATGCCCATTTCACATTCTAGACACGCCAATATAAGCTTAAGAAAGTCCAGCGGCAATTGGTCCACCACGTTGCTTTATTTCAAAGAACCAAGTTGCTTGTTTAGCCATACAAGTGGTAAACTGAAGGTCTGTACTTTTTATTTATAGAAAATCATGGGCTTTAATGGCTTCAGTAATTTCACGAAGAACAAGCCGACATAATTGCCCACCTTACAACTAAAGCGTGCGCTTCCATATGATGAACTCCAACCATTGGAAGCCTGTGGGCTTTCGCAATATTGCGTGCTTTTTTCACGCCAACTGCAATAAAGAACCGGCTTTATTACAGATACTTAGACGCAAAAATCTCTGTTTCAATCAGGAGATGCTTAGGACAGATAAATACATTGTTACGCACGTACCGTGTAAACAAAGGCTCAACCCTGGCCCAATAGTAACAGCAACTGCAGAGAGGTCGGACTCTTGTACTCCGGCGTTCTGAAGGGCGTCTGCCACTACCTGGTCGATAATGTACTTCAGGTCAAGGCTCCTTAAGCAAGCTATTTGAACGGAAACTACAGAGCACATGAAGGCCATGCACTTCTGATACATCATCGATTGACCGGCGCTGTAGAGCATGGTCAAAGTAGCACACCTTGTCAATAAATTTTCGGTGCTCCTCTGACGCCAGCTTTGGAACTACACCACCCCACTGACCCAGCAGTTCTGCCTTATCACAATCACACCACACAAATGAGAAACAGTTCAGCTCAAGCGCTACGAAGAAATCCACGTACTTCTTACAACTCAGCGGTCCCTCGACGTGTATCAGAAAATTAACGACGAATAACTGGCATTTCCAACTTGAGATTGTCGAACCCAAGTTCCAGAGCCTAAGCAGAGCAAAATGGCGTAGAGATGGAAGGCGACTTTGAAGCTCACAACTCTGGCTTACTGGACACAATCTCCACGGCACACCCGCCCTCAATTTTTGCTACGATGCCGGAACCGAGGAAAATAACAGGACATGGGTAAGCTCGTGTGGTGGTACACACACGAGCACTAAACCTATACAACGAACACCGTCTTCAGGCAAAATTATGTTTCTGAGCTAATACAACGTCTTGTTCACAAAAAAATGAAGGTCATTTGCAGTTTCGAGAGCTGTCGTACCTGTGAAGCAATGGCTTCTCCCAAAATTCTTCCGTCCGTTGTAACCTGAGTCAAGAAGAAGCAAGAAAACCCTCAGAGAATTATTACCCTGATCTGAATACTGATCAATTTCGGACGACTACTCTCTTCATTGTCCTCGAATCTATAACATGAGCTAAGAGTCTCGATTGGAGTCCGAATTTAACTTGAGGCGAGATTTCACGATGTAAAGTGTGCGCATGCTCTATGAACAATGAGTGGTCGCAACATCTTGTCCATAATCTAAAGAACCATGGACGGGACATACCACAGCAGCTCCTGTGTCGTCGCAACTCGTTTCAATCCCCAAAACGAGAACATCTTCCGTGCTTCTACACCGAGGACTTGAAACTATGCTACAACACCGAATGGTCCGAGGAGGAAATTTCGTTGACGAGAGCACGTTCCCTCTCCGTCGTCCAGCTGCGCAGGTCAGGATGCCGGTCGCCAGTCCATTCTTCTTGACGCGAATTGCCGCAGGGTGGTGGTGACGGACAACACGCGAGCGCAGAAGACGAGTCAATAACAGAGCTGGACTCGGACATGGCATACGCGCTGCCATGGAATCCTGCACGGCGAACACGCTGCGATTGAATGCCTCCTTGCATCTCTTCGTCGTACTCGTCCTCGTGTCGACGTTCTTCGTGACCCGCGGCCCTCGTCCTCCGTGGCTTCCCCTGCGAGCCCGTCGCGACGTCAGTTCGAGCTTTGAAAGATTAGATTCCGCGGCTTCAAAATATGTTTATTCCGAAATCGAGATGGAATGCGGTGCGTACTTCCGGAGCCTTTGCTCCTTTCCGGTACATATATAACGCATTCGTAGAATAATCATATTTAATCAGAACTCTAGAACTACGACCGACTGGCAGTGCCACTAAGCAACTCTGTTATATTCGTATATGTGAAACTCCGATGCGCTCGTACAGTTCTTGTCCTCTTGTCCGCGATGAATCCCGTTTTAGGTTGCCTTTTCTGACTGTTAATATCGATAAGTATGATTTAGGTGAAAGATGTGAGCTGACTTTTCTGATCGAATCTCATGAATCGTTATCTCCCCTACAAACTCTAATATGGAAAAGTCTGTTGTGACCCAAACCTCGTTCCCGAATTCAATTCCCGAGCAAAAGGTTGAATTAACATGTATTATTTCTTATCCTCATTATTCACAAAAGAGTTCTCCATTTTCGTAAAGTTATCGTGCATGTTTCGGTCCGAGCAACGCATGAACAGGTTGGTTGACCCTTAATCAACCCTTATCATAAAACCAGAAAAACATCAAACCTATGCTTCCACTAATCATCGGCTACAACACGCTCTGAAACACTTGGGCAAGAGGTTGTAAGAACGGCTGATCGGATCAGATCGCTCCAGGTAATGGACCCGTTAAAGTCCGCACAAGATAAAACAACAGAATGGCCAAACCTCTGGTGTTGGGCTATCTGTATTGAAAATGGTGATGAATGTTCTATGTTGGTTTTACAGCACACTTTGATTAATCATATCTATGTTGGCGTAGAATTTTGAGTTCAAAGCGTATAGCTGTATAATTAAAAACGCACGTAAACATATGTATTTCATTAATATGAGTTTGTACGAAAGTCCAAGTCGGACTATTCTTTGATTTGATTGTCAGTTTGAATTGACTAGCTAGATTAAATTGATGAAAATTGAAAGTGCATACATCATAGGACCAGAAAACAAATTCCACCAGAGTTTACAATATCTATATGATCCGTACAAGAGAATAGGTGTGATGGGTACAATGAGGAGTTAGCAAAATTTGTGATCGAGGAACACAGTCACTGGTAGACGAAATATTCATAATTTGGGGAATCTTGAAATTGTACATGTAAGGTACAAATTTTGGAATCAGTATGTTTGCGGCGAATCAAAGCTCAGAGGTTTTCCAACCATCAAGCTACTTCAAGCGCACATTTAAACTAGTACTCAACGAAAAACTAAAAAACCTTGTTACTCTTAGATGTAGAACTAGAAAGAAAACGACGGAAAATGCCAACAACAATTATATTAGTGTTCCATATATCACCGAATCTGTCCTAACCTTGTACTGATTTGCAAAATATCTCTTCTAAAATCTAATTCTTTAATCTATACAATATCTAACCTAATAATTACTTTTCTTAGCACCGAAAGATTTGTTTGATGGGATCCCATCAAAATTGCTTGATGGGATACATCAAATTTAATTTACCCTATGGCTCTTCGGTGAATTCTAATATGTGTTCTTGTATAAATATGTTCTAATTGATGTTTCTGCGATGGCTTCCACGACGAGCCATTAGAGTTTTAACACTAGAGATATACTCTCGCCTGCAAAATTTCCCGACCCAACCGAATTTATCAAAGCTATCGACATTAAGGGTTGCACTCGCGTTCCGAAAACAATATGCACAAGCACATTGAATCGAAAAAATCTTTTTTGGATCTGGAAACAATGAAATGCCACTAGCATTACACTTTCCACCACCAGTAATCTTGAATTTTTTCGTCAAACCATCAAATTTTTGCTCCAGCAGATATACAGTACATCACCGCATTGCCACAATGAAGATTTCTGTGCACATGAATTGTTGCGAAAAAATTCATACTTGAAACAAGATGCATTTCAAGGAGTTGATTTGACGATGACGTGGACCATTTGGTGAAGTCCCATCCAGTAAATTGAAACTTAATGGATACCATCAAGCAATTTACATATTGATGGGGTACCATCAAATAAATATATCGTGTAGCCATTACTACAATATGATGCTTTATGTATGAAAAGTTCAGTTGTCACTGCTGTTAGTTTTAAAAGAAAAAAACCCAATATTGTTTTATTTTACAATCTCATATATTAATTTAAATGTCATTTGTAATTTGTTGATATGATGTGATATTAAAAATTTTATTTTCGGAATAAAATTTCTATGTGCTCTATGTATCATCATCAACTTCATAATGTGTATTCATAAATGGTAAAATATATATCATTGAATTTAAAATTCAAACATTTGTTTGCATTTCATATGGAGTTTTTTTTATAAAAATCAGGATATTTACTTCTATAAAAAATTAAGTTATCAATAGTATTCAAATTTGGAAATATCATAAACCAAAGTCAATGATAATCTATGATGTTTGAAGTAGGCAATTTTTTAGCAAATTACAATAACTAGCAAAAGATTTTGTGATGTTGTAATTTAATGTTACTTCGAAAGCAATTGATACTTTTGTTATATTTGAACTTTCTAAGTTATGTTTACTTTTTTTTTCATTTTCAAAAATATATTATTAATTTTATTATTATTATAAAATTAATAAATAATTAAATGCTAAAATTTATTATTTAAAATATTTCTCATAAATTTTTGTTTTAAATTGAATTTGAAAAAATGCTGAACATTAAAAAAAAGATTATCATTTGAAATCATGTGAAATTTTAACAATTTTACATAATTTTTTCTGAAAAATATTAGATTTACTTCTTAAATATACAGTTAAAAAAATGTTGAGATATATTTCAAGTACCAAATATGATTGGGTACAACAACTAAGTATGTAAAGTTGATGGTTATCATGCTATAAAATTTAAATTGTGAACTCATTAAATTAAAATCTTACATTATAACATTGTAATTTCTAGAACTTGAATTTATAGGTCTCGTGTCCCTAAGATCCAGGAACTTTCCAGTATCTGCCCGCAGGGCCGGAGGGCCCTCGTTTTTTCGTATTTTATTCTTTGAGCTTGTCTAGGCAGCGAAGAGAACGAAAATAAGAGGCCGAAAAAGATATATATGTGATTAGTATAGTATAGCTTTATACTCGATGTAATACTAATCTATAACATAAACTGATTTATGTTATAGATTAGTATCACATCGAGTACTTTGAGTTAGCTTTAATTATATCATAAAAGCATGCATCGCGACAGATGTACTTGATGTTTTTTACAAAAAAACGAATTCAAAGAACGAATTGATGAGCCTCATAGGTTGAATAACGTATTACAATAGAACGAGAGAATCATAGTTCAAACTAATAAAATACATAACTTTTAGATCCAATCGAGACTGTGATAACGCAATTTTGTATGACTTCAATTAGCATGTAAAAGGCACATAACAATTGGAGTGTTTTTGTGCGTGTTGTAGACATTGATTTAGACTAGGTAGTCTGGATTATTCTATTATTATTACATGATGATGGTTAATTTCTTAGTCAATCTTCATAATAAGAAAGTGAAATTGGTTCCATAGAATCGTGTTATTCTTATACTGGTTTTCCACATCCTTAATTTCTTCCCGCGTGCACAACATTTTCATCCCTTTTCCTTTGCTCTCGTTAGTATGAGGCGCATTAATCTGCACGAAGACGTGAATGGTTCTTTTGAAAAATTTAGGGTGTACGAGAGAAAATGGAATTCGACCGGACGGATGCCTTTACTTTCGTCTGAGATGCTAACGTTTCGCTGTCCACCGCCTGTGCGTACTCGGGGCGTACACTTGTCCGCTACGAACGCCGCGGTAGACTGGCTTGGCTGGCTGCAAGGGTAAGGAGAACCGTTATTCGGGGCTCAAGAAACTTGTGAACGGAAGGCTCTCGAGCCTGTGACCTGAGTATGTGCAGCTTTCGAACGGAGGGTGGTGGATAAGCGCAATTCTTGGTTGTAAAGAAGGGGTTTATGAAGAGCCTGAACTTTCTGTATGGCGTCGCGACGCCCTGCGACGATGGCGCAGATGTTTCTTTTCAGAAGCATTTTGGGGCCGCCCTTCATGGCAAGAGTTGATTGGACTCGTCGTCACTCGTCTGAATCTGATCTCGAGACAGTTACTGAGATTTCTCAGCTGCAGCACAATTGAAGCGGACGGCGAAGAGAGGAGGTGGAAAGAACGTGTGTATATGCGCTTTTGGTGCTTTATTAGGTAGTGTCCTGCGAACAGAGCAATTACCTGACGCAGTTTCATCATTTCGACAAGAATCTTCACAACAAATTACTTCGCCGTGCTCTCGGTGGCAGCTGAGGCCAGAGCAGTGATAGTGACCGTCAGAAGCTTTTTTCTTTGGCAATGGCTTCTAATTTCTCATGCGGTATAGTAGGGTTAGATCAAACGGGCTGTGTTTTGCCTTCAGTCGCATCGGGTGCGAAACCTCGTAAATCCAGGGCAACTCGACTTTCTTCCGTACGATCGATTTCTGGACCTCTCCTTCCCACAAGGCTGCCGACTTCTTCGACCATTTCAACCTCCGAATTTCACACGAAGGATCCGGTATTGAGGGCTGCCGCAAGCTTTACTGCTTCCGTATCAGACTCATGTAGAAAATATCCTTCAGCATCGAGGATACCCTCAAGTGTTCAAGCATTATCCACAGAAACCCTTTTTCCGAGTAGTCCTCTAGTAGAAGACGAGGAACTCAACTTAGTTCTCGAATCTGCAACGTCGGGAGAAAAACTTCGTGCTGCCGCAACACTGCGGGCTCGGTCTTTTTTTGCATATCCCGAGGGGCGTTCCATAACTGCCCGCAAGGTAGGAGTTTTGTTTTGTTTGAGCAGTAAGCAGTCTTACTAATTCAGTTCCCACTCACTAGTTCTGAGATCCCTTTTATTCTTAGATTACTGTGAAAGAGGCATATTTCACTGCCTGAGAAGTACAGTATCTAAGGCGCACGAATGTATGTTGCAGATATAGTTTTATGAAGCTCGTGTTTGACGACTATCTATTAACCACGAATGATGTCCACGAAGACGAGTAGAATGGACAAACCTACCTTCATCTCTTCAAAGACTATTATTATTAAAGAAAAGCTCACGGGAGAAGTACCGGTTCCTCAGAATAGCATCCCAGAGGTAATTGATTCACAGAAGTAATTTCTGACTCAGAAAGGTGATTACATGTGAAGTGCAGATGCACCAGAAGATGAAAGCAGACGACGAATGTGCTGTTTTGACAAGGAAAATTGGAGGGCTGGAACAGGGTTACAAGCGCACGGCCTGTCTGATTGCAACATGTCCATCGTCGGAAGTACCAGAATCTGGCCGTGATCTTCACGAGATGTGCTCAGTGAGTGGTGGAATTCCGCCTTTTATTCTCTTAACTTCAGGTGTTGCCATCTACCAAGCGATGACCGTGAGAACTTGGATTCCAATCTTGTCATCCGATTGTCGGTAGATGCACCTTGGAGACAGTAGATCCTAACTCTCCACTGTTTTTGGATCAACTCAATATTCAGGTGGCTGGTCCTCGGACTGAAGGTTACCTCGTCGTGGGTACTCTAGATTTGAACCAGGGTCTTAGTCTTCCAGGAGAAGTCATGGGAGAGCGTCCAACGGTACGTGGTCTTTCTCCAGAATTGAGGCTCTTGTCTGGCTCTACAATATGCTCCTGTGTATCACCATTGCTAGCATCTGCAGCAGACGAGGTTGCCGGTCTTGAGTCATTTAATCTCACTGGAGTGGGTCTTGATCCAAATGGTCTTTTTCATGGTCAGCAATGACATTCTTACTTTCGGTGATAATCTTAGGGCCCGGAAGCTGATGTCAAGAGAGCGTACTTGTCCAACGTATGTGTCGCGGAAGAAGTTCGCAGAAGAGGAGTTGGTATGGAACTTGTGGAGTATGCCAAAGAGACTGCGAAGCTGTGGGGTGGGTGAACTCACTACCGCACGTTTGTGCATATGCTTGTCCTGAATTCGTAAAGGACAGATGGTCGGTCATGGCTTGGTCACCTGTACATCTAAACTCGTCGTCGGATCTGAAAGAAGACTTTCTTCTCACTGGCGTGCAGGAATACGCTACTTGTACGTTCATGTGGTGGCCGATAACATTTCCGCTCGGAAGCTTTATGAAAAGGCAGGATTCGAATACGAGAGCGAAGAAAGCGTGAAGGAAGCTCGGAGCCTTGGTCGCCCTCGACGTTATATATTACGGACACACTTAGTATGATTCGTATCGGAACCAAACAATTACAGTTTCTTTAGAACCCCAGTTGCAGAGAGTGATGCCCAAATCTTCCACTTACGACGCAACCCAGGAGCAGATCAGATACGAGTCCGCCTTCTTATTGACTGATTCGAGGGAGTATGAAATGATACCCGCATGGTCCAGGTGAGGAGGACAAGGAGGGACGGGGAATGGGCATGGGCAGCATAGGAAATGGTCTCACCACAGCTGGCGTCTTGCCAGAGGCGAGAAGTGTAAAATTACATCTTGTATCACTATCATTTGGAAAGGAAGTTCGTTCATGTTTGTACTTCGTATGACTAAATGCACCTTTACCTTCCTTAAAAAAACAATTTTGTCTTATCAGCTGCCCTAGAGGATCTTCTTCTATTACAAGCCGAAACAAATGTGAAAATGTCGTCCACTCGATAGCTGTCTACTGTTGCTAGTACCGAAGTGAACTGTACAGCCTACTTTCATATCCACAACTGAGTGTGTCGAAGCCTTGTAATTTAAGCATGGAAGTAGCTGATCGGTCAGCGCCCGGTTTGCACAAATATGAAAGCCACGCGCAACAGTAACATGTGCGCGCAGCATGGTCAATGAAACGCATTGGAATCGCCAGACTCGAACGTACGCTTCGTAATGACTCAGGGGTGAGGTTGATGACACCGGGAGAGGGCGTGATGAAGTGTAAATCTCTCCAACAAGTCGTCACAGAGCTCGAGATACGTTTTGGTGTCACTGGATTAAAGACCAGCGTGGCCAGAAATTGCTAAGTTTACAAGGAGCCATGTCTCTCTTCTGCTTCTCGTCGTCGTTATCCGTAGGCGTCATCGTGAGTACGTCAGCTATGATTGTTATCCGCTACGCTGCGACTGGGTGCAAGAAACGTGAGACACTCAGCGGATCCGCGGGTCTCCACTTTAACTCACATGTCGGGAGCACAACCAACGAGCAAAGTTCCCAAGGCTCTCCCTCCCACCAACAGTTGTGTCTCCGCGAAGACAGTGCTCTAGACAGGACCGTGCCCGATGGAATTAAGTGATGTATGGAGGGCAGGTAAGGGGACAATCGGAGAATGATCCGAGAATGTCGATGGAACCCCGATGTGAAAATTACAATGTTAACCTCTCAATCTTTTTTGCATTCAATAACTTTGTTCGGCATAGATTGACTACCTCAAGGTTAGTAGTTTTACCAGAATTATCTCACAGACCATTTAGTTAGTGAACAAAGAAAAATTATTCCAGACTGAACCAATCACTATATCTATAATCATCATGCCAAGTGTAACCATACTTCAGTTCAAAGTTAGTAACATGTCTCAACTAAGTCTACAACCATTAAATTTGAATTATAAGCAAGTAAAAGATATCCATAACTTGATGGGACCCAACGACGTCCTGCAGGTCCACCTTCAGTGACGTTACTTTACTATCTGGGGTTATTTCGAGTAGAACATGACGACAAGACCATTTCAGGAGTAATTCAGACTGATGGTGCCCGTCTTGGCATGGGTGCGAAGGAGTCGACAAAACACTGTGGCGAACACTCCCCACTCTATAGAGCAAATCAGTAGGTTATAAAAACATGGTTTACGGTGACGGTGGCACTCGAATGAGGTCCCAAAAATGAAACCTGTTGGGTCCTTCAAGAGTATTGAGTTTACAGGGATTCCATCAATTAATTTACTCAAATATATAACATCTTATTCATTTCATTAAACACCTCATGCGATAGAATTATACATTGAAAATATAAAGAAAAAACTCATTGCGTAGTACAAGTAGAAGGTGCCAAAGGTTTCATGTATGCTCACGAGTGCAAGTGTTCGGAATTTAGGGTCGGGGTCTTTCGTTGTTATTCACGAGAGTAGTCTTAATTGCTTCGTGAGCGAAGTTTCACGGAAGGAGGTCAAGTCGATGGAAAGTTACGTTGACATCTCAAGGTTTGAGATTACTGTCTTTTGTCTCACGCTCTTAACGTGATCACGCAGGGGAACATGTGAACAATGATATTAGATTCGCTTCAATTCATTTGGCGGCTGCAAGATCTAGAGGGCCTCAGACTTGTCTGGACTGCATTGACGGCCGCTATAATCTCATGATCACGTATTTCCGCCTGTCGTTTGTGCAAGACCGAATTTCCGAACGAGAGACCAGCGCCTACGTTAGGGACTAAGGAGCCTCAAAGCTCGTGACTCAGAGTCAGGGTATGGTACAGTATTGTGTATTCTGACACAGGTTGCAGGACAATAGCAAGCAACGAACGACTGAAAGAGAAAAGAACTGTAAATTTCAAGGGAAGAAGAATTCAAATCACAAGAAACCGTACATTACAGATCATTCACTGGTCGGGTGAGGTTATCTCCGGGTAGTCTAAAAAATGCAATCTGTCGTTTCCTGATAGTCATATGCGAGATACAAATACTTTGTTGTTTGATTCGTACTCCACTCAGCGTATTTTCTTTCCCTAAAGTAGTTTGGAAAAACAAAGCCAGTTGCCTATTTTGCCTTCCCTAGACGTGAGTGCAATACAATTTTCTGGTGCAATACATCGATTTATTGTGCAGGTTATTATCCACGCTTTGGTCAGACGTGCCAAATTTAGCAATGTTTCAAATTATGGACTAACTTGTCCCTCACGAAAAGAGAACGTGACGGAGTATACACGGGACGATTTCGAGCAGAAATGATGGTCAATGGTCGACCTTGGACTAATTTATTGCTCCTGACGGCAAGCATTGAAAAAATCATAATATCATATATGAAACGCCCAAACGGTATCAAGCACGAGCAATATGTTTTCCTGATCCAGATTCTTAAATTAAATATTGAAAGTTCAGCTGAATCTTCAAATATCTCAGAGATTGCAATAATACATATGTTTCGTATGTATATATATCATGAAAATCCACCTGCTGCATACGGTGGATTTTCGATGGAATTTCGAGCCTCCTAATGTCCTCGCATTGTCGCTGACTTTCTGCATCTATTCGTGTTGACTTTCCCTGCTTCCTTCGTTTTCACAATTTGTCGCACTCTGAGTCTATCCAGACGAGTTTAGAATTTGAAACACATTGCTGTAACGGTAGTTTGTGTCTTGTATGAAATCCTCGTGATACAATACAGCCGATAAAGCATAAGTAGCCATGATTCTCTAAGTTGATGATGTAATGGACGATGTAACGATTTGGTGAATGACGAAGAAACAAGCATCAGTAAGAATGGGTAACGTATCCACTTTTAGTACTGTAATCATAACCGTACTTGCAAAGAAATAGGCTTCTTGATTGTAGGAAGAAACAATTTTGGCCTCCCGTGAGACTCTACATCCAGGTACTCATCACAGATAAAAGGTGAAATGATACAACTATTCTTTCGTTGCTCAAGTTTAATGCATTGATACGCTTATACTCGTCCTCGCTTCTGTTCTCTTCCAAACAGCCTTGATCGAAGTTTCTGGACCTGCACTTTGGTACTCGTGTGTTGATTGGAGTACAGACCCGAGATCTGAAATCGGAGCGAGTTAGACCGTACATCGTGAAAATCAGTATTCGCGATCGATGAATACGTAGTAAATACGATAGATATTACTATTTCCAAGAAACCTTGCAGCTCCCATTCCGGAAAGCCTCGTGAAGTCCATAAATCTTCCGGTCCAGAATCCGGGAGAGTGGTTGACATGGCTACCACAAGTGTAGAGTACTGTCTATGACGTACAATCACGGAGAGCTACTGGTATTGTCTGCCACGATCTGGGAGAATTCAGGTTCGGCAACTGCTACCGTATAAGAGGATTTCAGAACCCGTACTATTGTGGCCATGAGTCCCTTGTTCTCGAATCTCGCCCCGCTTCGCTATCGCTCAAGGCTCGGGCGGTCTTGTGCCACCGGAGTCACCGGACGAACCATTATGGCCGCAGGCTTTAATTCTCTCGATCACATTGATTGTCGTCGCGTGTTTTTCATGCGACTCGCAAGGGTCATTTGGCCATAACGAGTACGATCCTGCAACGGGAAAAATTGTAGACGTTGCATTCCGTTTCATTCCCCCGTCATATATATATTCGCTGCATTCGTCCACGCCTGCCGAGACCCGACGAGATCCTAGCTCATCAAATTGAGAAGCCTGCACATCCACATCGAGCTGACATTCGCTTGACTCGGGGCTTCTTCCAAGGGTGTCATACGTGTTCCGCAGCGTGGACCCTCTTCGGAGTCCTGTCAAACTGCGAATTCGACTTCGATGAGATTGGAAGTCGGCCGGCTTCATGGGAGCATGATTGATTGACTGTTCTATTCGACAGGAGCTGACGATCAGATAGACGCACAGACAGAGAGACAAAGCATTCGCGTTGCGCGAGTCGGAGGGAGGGAGGGAGGGCAGATTGGGTTTGACCCAATGCCGGGCGTTCCGTTCGTTCAGTGGGTGATGGACCGGGAGTCGCCACGGGGAAAGCACAAAGGGATGAAGTCGTATGCTCTCAAGCGCCTGAAGTCGGTAATCTTAGACTATCGTGTGAAGACGGCGGCGACTGCGCTAGCCGCAGCAGCGCCTCGAGGGCTGAGGGAAATGAGAAACGTGTGGGCTCTGAAGTTCACGGAGGATGAGATCGAGTGCCACTTTAGCGGGCAGCACATGAATGTGAATTTGGGTTCTGCAGTGCGGCGGATTGTGGCGGGGGACTGGACGGCGAGCGACTTTCCTCCCATGAATGTGGTGGCAATCGGCGGATCTCTGTGGTGTCTGGACAATCGGCGCCTCTGGGTTTTCAGGAAAGCAGTTCTCCAGATGGTGCCGGTGATCATCCTCTCGGACCCCAGAGATCCCCAGGTCCAGAGCTTCGTTGCGAGGGCCACCAAATCCGCCATGGAACGCTGGGAAGCTGACAATTTCGAGCCGAAGGTGCGCGGCCGCGTTCACGATTTCGCTGTGTGTGCGGATGATCCTGCCGCCGCCGCCGCCGCCGCCGCAGCTCAGGATCCAGGTCTCGATGCTAGCCAGCAACCTGGCCCGAGCTCTGGAACTGCGCTGTGTCCGACTACCGACGGTCTCAGCGGATCAAAAGTGGCGTGCTTTTGTATCGGCCTCTTGGTGTTGATTGCTGTCCTCCTCCACTCACCCAACTGCCGGTAGCTTTGACATGTCCTCGTATGCACCCGCAACCTGCAAGTAATCGAGAGCCTGTGTGCATCCTGGATTTCATCTGCTGCCTGCCGACAGGCAGTCGCACGCTGCCACCAGAGGCCTATCTTCGACTCGTGCGTTGTTTTGAATGAATTCTCACATTCAGATCCATTTTTATAAGGCAAGCAGAAGCGCGAGCCATCACCGTGCACTGTAGTGTGTGCTCCTGCATCCTCGGTTCAAGATTCGTGTCACATTAGTACTCGAAGGTAGATAGCAAGTAGGAGTAGGGAACGTCGCACAATCCTCATATTCACGATGGAAGTGCCTGGGTCTGTAAAAATGATGGACTTCGTAAAAGTCCGAATTCCCGGTGGGCGCGCATTACCAATTTCAATTCAAGCCAGGATCATCTGCAAGTGAACAGGAGAAGTCCCCGGCCGTCTATTCGTATTGTATCTGAAAGGAGACTAGAGCTTCGTCGATGGCCACGACGTCAGTCAGTCCAACGATCAAGAGTGCAGGAGACAAAAAGTGAAGTGGCCCGTCTCACAACCTGCAAGCCTTAATGGTGTAGTAGAACGGAACTATAGCCGATTCCAACCTGCTCCGACAGTTACATTGAGCATCAACACAAATATTTCCAGTGAAGGAAGTGGTAGCTGTCTGTATGCACCTCACCATTACACGGATATATATACTTGCAGTGAAAATAGACTATGAATCTACAAGCGGCCTCTCCTCTAGTGGATTTAAAGTATAACGTTTTGCATGATTTGGGATAAATCTATTGCAAAATTGCGACTTACAACAAAAGTTTTTCTAATAAAAAATATGAAAAATTGCAGTTCATTTGTAATAAACACAATTATTTTGCCAAATGTCCATTTAAAATATGTTTTTTGTGACATATTTTATTTCACCAAGTGAAACTATTGGGACATGTGATCATGTCAGGAATATCATAAAAAAGGTACACGTTCATTTCTACTTATGACTATACATTTGATAAGTAAATCTAATTGCAGTAAAACATTCATAACTAAGTGAACACTTTAAAGTAACGTAAACATCAAATCTAGAAGAATCAAATTAAAATTTGGTAATATATATCTTTCATGTTGAAACCTAACAATGTCATTTCTATTCAACCAATGATTATACTAAAAAATAGATGTATTTTAACTTTTAGTCTGAAATCAGTCAACAATACACCATATGACAGACATGTAAAATTTCATTAAGTACTTGGATATAGTCAACAGAAAATATCCAAATAAGACGTGAAAAATTAAATGATAACTCAACTGATTCATCCAAGTATATGATGTAGTGATGTTCCACAAAAAAATTCAAGCTTTGATATCTCAGATATTTCCAATAAATTTTTTTTATACGATACTCATGTTGATATATCGGAGACCTAACTAACACTCTCGAACATGACGGAATAAATATAATGGATAAACTTTATGGGAATGATCGAAACTTGTAATTCAGATGTTAGTCTCCAATATATCCTTAAAAAGAAATGTAAATACAAGATAGTTCCTAAATCGAGTTGAGTTCATTGAAATATCAGATGCTCTTTCACATGTAGGAGGTTTTTGTGGGTAAACAGAAAAAATTTGGAGTGAAGAAAGCAAAATTAGGAATTTGAGAGAATTGTTTCTATGTTTTCAAATTCAAAAATTTAACTATGATATAGTCAAGACGTATTAGATCATATTTCTTGATGCGATATTACTGGAGCTAGCTTCCTCCTACACCTCATCCACCTTGTATCGATAAGTTATTCCAACCCTTTTGTTGAATTGTTGAAGCTCATCTATATTTTGGTACGAAATAAGATTTAAACGGGAGATTGACAGATCGACATTAGAATAAGTGAATGTAGTGGACGGAATACTTCAGCCAGCTATTTGGCGGCGACAATTGATTCGATTCAGTCTGGAGGCTCGGACTCGCTTCTTCTCGCGGTGCCAGCAGAAGGACAAAAATGGTAAAACAAAGTGCTGGAGGGAGGTACTATCGAAACCAGCTGAAATCCGTTTGGGGAAACGCGTCACGCAAGAGCCGGGCACTCGTGCGTCCACGTCAGCTCTGAAGCTCGGAAGCTGGGCAGTCAGGTGACGTACTGCTTGCTATTAGCGTAATTCGCCTTCCGAGCGAAGCTGGAAGAGGAAGGAGAGTTAGTACATGGCAGGAATGTCGCTCCGGCGAAATCGACCGCGGACGTTCGAGCGAGCGCATTGGACATGCTGACGGGAGCCGAGTCGAAACGGATTTGGGCAAGTTTATTCCCCGATCCGCAGCATTTGCTCGGTCGAGCAGTTGGCGAGCTGTGGGCGATGCGCATCCTCGATCCGCCGATGCTCGAGATTGAAGGGTCCTCGACGTTCATTGCTGCCATTTAAGCTGAAGCTCGTGGTAATGAGGCTACTGGCAGGCGTTATTGTTGCTAGGATTTGCGCAGTGGTTTGAAGATGGCCTCTTCAACTGGGTGCCGAAAATGTGAGTACCATTCCGGATACACATTAATTGGTTCTCTCTGCCTTCTTTTCTCGAACTCTCCGTATCGGTAATGTCGTGAAAAGTTAGCTCTCGGTCTACGTGGCACTGATGGTTTTGCCTCAGAAACTTGTGCTAGATTGTTGCAGAAAAGCTGTTGACACATAATTGAAGCTTGTTTCGTTTTGTTTTTCCTTTCGTGTGTTTTGTTCTCGGTTTGCCGAATTATCTTGCAAGTATGTAGCCTATTCTTTGGAAGAAGATATTGAAACCTAGATGCAAATATGAGCACTGGCTATTGTGTTCGGCAGTGGAATCTTACTCCGATTGGTGTTTGCTGTATTCCAGGTCTACTGGCAGCGCTCGTGATAGCATTACTGTCACCCAGTCTCCAAGAGGCTCAAGCCATCAGAAGTAGTACAAAATTCTCTCCTTCCCGAAATGTGAGAAATGCTAAGCGCAAGGGTTTACAGACAGAGCGACCTTACAACGTCGCCCACCGTGGAGCTAATGGTGAATTGCCTGAGGCAACTGCTCAAGCTTATGTGGTACGGCTGTCGCCCATATGTCTAGGCCGTTGATATGTTAGCTGCAGGTGTCTTTCAAGCATGATCGTAGCTTTTCCTCCGCCAAACAAATATGCCTTGCAAGCATGATAATCCAACTGGTGTTTCATCTGACGTACTATTTATGGTTGACGATGCACGTCAGAAAGAATTGACATGAGATATCTGTAATTTTAATAATTTTTGCAGAGGGCAATTGAAATTGGAGCAGATTTTCTTGAAACTGACATTCTCGCCACCAAAGACGGTGTTCTGATTTGCATGCACGATATGGTTTTTAACGATACTTCCAACATCAAGGATCACCCTGAGTTCGCTGATCGAGTAAGAACCTACGATGTACAGGGAGCCAATGTTACAGGGTGGTTTACAGGTAAGATAAAGTTTGAGTGCCGTGTTATCCGAGTTACACCGTGTTTTTTTGGTGGAGATTATTGAATCATATTTAGTTACCTTAGTGATGTGCACTTAAATCTGAAGCAGTTTGTGGATGACTTCGTATTCTTTGTGAACTTAAAGTGCGATCTGTCATCTTCATATTTATATGTACTGATGAGGTGAGCTTTGGCAAGTGGATGTCAGACCACCACACGAGATTGAAGGCTGAAAGCAAGATGTAACCATAAGCTTTCCTCTTTGGCCTAATGGAAGTGTAATTCTGTGCAGTGGACTTTACATTGGACGAGATCAAGACTCTGAAAGCTCGCCAGAGATTTGATGATCGTGACCATTCATATGATGGTAGGCAATTTGACTTCCATGATCCTGTTGTCTATGGTAATCAGATGAGCATAAATACCAGGGGCACGGTTGTGGTTTTGTAAAATTGTGTACCCCTAGTCGGCCACAATGATGAAGCGGATACTCTAGGAGATGAAGAATATGAGTATAATGAAGTTTCACAACTGGGAACGCAGATCAATTTGATATCATTACTTTCGAGGAGTTCATTGCGGTTGCTTTAAATTCTCCACGAATTGTAGGGATCTATCCAGAAATCAAGAATCCAGTTTTCATCAATGAACATGTAAGTAAAACGTGCCTTGGATTGAAAGTTTTGGTCGTGTAATATTGAATACCCTGGCTTAGTAGTAAGAGGTGTCGGTGTACGGTGAGTGCCGAAACAAATGACCTTCCTCCATTGTTGTCTACACTAATGATACGCTTGTAACATGAGAATGGAAATTGTGCATACTAATGGCTGAGTATCAAGGAGTACACTGTAGGTGACATTTAATTCTATTTAAATTTATGCTTCTTGCCTGTATTGAGGAAGTCTTGAACAGAGTATCATATGCTTCACATGCAGGTCAAGTGGGCTGGAGGGAAAAAGTTCGAGGATATTTTTGTGGAGATTTTGCTCAAATATGACTACAGTGGGGCTTACTTGTCAAAGGGCTGGATGAAGCAGCCTCTCTTCATCCAGTCATTCGCTCCCTCAAGTCTCGTATATGTCTCAAACTTGACGGACTCACCCTTAATATTTCTCATCGACGACGTCAACATGCCCACACAAGATACCAACCAGGTGTATATTTCTGCCTAAAGCCAATGACTTGAGAAAATATTTCTGTAACTTGTTAAAGCTTGCTACCTACATAACATTTGGATTGCACTACAGAAGTGTAAAATCTTAGGTTTCTCAACTTGCATCAACATTTTCATCTCTATTTGCTTCGAAGAGTTCCGGTGCAGTATCGTCTGTCATGAAGAGGCTGTAAAGGTTTTTGAGGTTATCTTTGTGTTGGGAGGTTTTGATTTCAAATGTGACTTAGGAAACTTCAAGAGTTTCACGAAGGGGAAGCTGCTCTTAGAAGACATAGTGGAAGAGAAAAATACTTATCAGTTGTCGCTTGATTGTAGACATTTGCTGAAATTACCTCAGATTCCTACTTGGACTACATCAGTCAATACGTTGTGGGTATCGGGCCTTGGAAAGACAATATAGTCCCTCCCGATGCTAGAAATTACTTGACTCTTCCAACAGATCTTGTTGACAAGGCTCACGCACGAAATTTGCAGGTCAGTATTGTGTCTCAATCCCTAAGCTGGGCATAGTTTCATTTTTCAAGTTCAAATATCTTGCTATACAAGATATTTTCGCTGAACCTTGATCAGATAGGTATTGATTCCAAAGAAGTGCCATCTGGGGTTTTGCAGGTTCATCCCTATACCTTTCGAAATGAGAATTCATATTTGCACTACGACTTCCACTTAGATCCGTATCAAGAGTACGATTATTGGATTAACACAATAGGTGTTGATGGGTTGTTCACCGATTTCGCGGGAAGCTTGCATTTATATCAACAATGGACGGCACCACTCAAATCAATATAAAATAGATAGCTATGTATAGATTAAATACTAGTGGGCCTCATGATTATGAGCATTTTATTCGAGATATCTCGAATTAAGCGTGGAACGTCACTCTAGTCGCATGGATACCATTCTTGATCCTCTTTTAAGCTGTTGAGTTGAGTAGACTTGGCCAACACTATCAGCAAGGCGTTGTACATCACTTATTGACAAGAAGTTTGCTGGTTGTACCGGTTCCTCCCATATTCTTTGTATCCTTTGTTGCCTTACTTTGATAGTGAATTTTTTCATGTCAGTAAAACGAAGAAACATCAAGAACACACTACGCTTTTCGACTGTTATTGCAACAAAGTTTTATTATGCACACAGTGGAGTTGGTATTAGAAGTTGAAGAAGAAGAAGTTAGAAGTTGACATCTTATAACTTCTTTAGTCTTGCAAGTCACCAAGTGTGGGCTTTACAGTACGGGTTGCAGGATGTGGTCAGTAGAATAAGTTTCAAGCCGTCTGAATGTCAGAGTATCACCCGTGGATCTATTCTTCACATCATTTTTATCAAGCATAAGCTATACTGGCCACTTTTTGGTCGCTGGAAAGAATCGTAGTCAATGTCACCATTCATACGATACGTTCATATACATACATCATGTTTGGATTGGCTGATGTTAAGCCCGGTTTGTGCCTCGATGAGTCTTTCAAATCCTGTATACTACCGAAGAAGCAAGGCAATTTGAGAATTTTCTAGATCTCGCCTTATCAGTTTCTCATTATACTACAAGCTTTCAACATCATGTTCCAGAGCTGCCGTAAGTCTGATGAAGAAGAAGAATCATCTGCCCTGACAAGAAGGAAGCGATCCCCCGGTTGTAATGGAGTGGTCTTTCCAAAATATGAGAGAATTTTAGAATGGCCTAGGTTACCCATTAGTACAGTAATTCACTTCATAATATATCTACTTCAATTCACAACATGAGAATCGTCTATCTCCCAATAAAAAAATGCCAACTATGAAAGTTTTAAGAATACAAAATCATTTCATGCACACCTCTACAAGTTTCGAAATAGCATCCAATATAATCAAAACAGGAAAACAAAGAAATCGAAATATATATAAAAAGGGCTGATACGTATTTGAAATTGGAGAAAGATAATTTTGAATTATAAATTCAGGAATTTGGCTGAGATTTTTCTACAGATTTGCCATAGGGTTCAACATAAGAATTAATATCACCGAAACTGATACCTGCATAGGCATGGCAAATCACTTTCTCTTTATGGCGAGGTATAATACCGTAATCTACGAAAATGTGCCCCCTCCTCCATCCTCATGACCTACTCTTCCAAATCACTCTTGTTTGAGATAACCTGTGCCTCAAAGGACATGAAACTGTTCCAGTTGGGCTCAACTGGAACAGTTTCATGGAGTAATTAGAAAACCCCCTTGGTGTCGACGAGGATTTTCCAATAACTATGAAGAAGAAAAAATGCCGCTGTATTTATCCTAAGCAACAAGCCTGCGGACGACAGAAGGGACGTGCTAGTAGGAATCGCCAGGGTTTGCAAATTAGAGCTGACAAGGACAGGGTTTGCTGACAAGGACAGCACGGTGGAGGCCACGTCTAGGTTCAGTCCGAGGTGTAGTTAGGTCCGCTGCAAGGCAACGACTGCCGAGCGTTCTTTGGTATTCGAACTTGGGCTGTGCACCTTCTTTCTTCGCCGGGTCGGGACCGAGAGGGTTTGGAATACCGAGAGGGCCAGAGCGCACGAATTGCACCATCGGCTCCAAGCCAGGGAATTGGAGGCCGAAATCTCGCACACTTGCAGCGTCCCTCGTTCAGCCTGGTGGTGTAAGCTCGAACGCTGAAGTTTGACAGATCTCGTTCATAACTTCGCTCTCAACGGAACTCATAACAAACCGAGTTTGGGCCTTTTATATTCATTTGGTTGGTTTTGAAGTCGGGCGGCCTTGTCGTTGAAATTGATCGCCATCCCATGCACGCTATCACGAACTCCGACACGTCTAGTTGTTTGCTGGATCCGACAAGAGTTCCTTCGGCGCTTGCCACTCGCGTTTTAAGTCTGCTTGGATTGGTGCAGGGGATCCATGGCTTCGAGCAGCAATGAGATTATGAGCAATCCCGCCAGTGTAGAGGAGATGACACTAGCAGTAAAATGGGCGGGGAAGGAGTTTACCGTGAGGGTGTGTGGAGATGACTCTGTTGGAGAGCTCAAGCGTCGGATTTGTGAATTGACGAACGTTCTTCCAAAGCGACAGAAACTGCTCAATGTGAAGGCTGGAGTCAAACCCGCGCAAGACTCATCTCTGCTTTCACAGCTTGCACTAAAGCCCGGGATAAAGATCCTGATGATGGGGTACTTACATTGTTCTCCAATTAGTCTTTGTCTCCATGTCGCTTTCATCAAATCTCTCACCGCATTGTGATATCATTTTCATCTTGATGCCCAACCTCTACATTCAAGCAGAGGGCTCGAGCTTGTCAGAAGGCAAATTTTGGGAAGAACATTTTGTATCGGGTGAATCTCCATAGCTTATTTGACGCAATTGGCTGTTTGAAGCCAGCAAATTGAAGCTTACAATCTTCAATTTAAAGATACGGGTGCTTTGGGGTCTTGCAGAGTCTAACCCTTAGAGATTGTCCAGCACTGTGGAAGATGAGATTTTTGTGGATCCGGTTTCTGCACCGGAGATTTTAGACGACTTCGAGCTTGGTGAAGAAGACACGGTGGACATCAAGGACGCCGAGGTTAATAAAGCGAAACTACGCAGGCGCGTTGATCAGTATAAGGTTTGACCTTCCCCCTCATTCAGGTTTAAGAGGTAGTTTGTAGGGGTTTGTTTTTTTTCTTGATTTTTTCGACAATTCTGAATCTTCTTTGTGTGGATTCGCAATACTCTGTTTCAGTTTTGCATGTTGGAAGCAAGCTAGATGAGGAGGGTGAACTAGATAATTGGACATCGATCACTGTCATTTAAGACTTTTGTTTGACGTCTTGACAGTTGACACTGCTCAACCCTTCTCGTCCTGGAAAAAAGTGTCTGGTTTTGGACATTGACTACACCATCTATGATCATCGATCTACAGCAGAAAACACCAAGGAGCTGTTGCGCCCACGTGAGAATTCTCCCCTCTTTTTTATCGTTAAGGTTTACAACCCAAAACAGCCATGGCTTTGGTGGCTTTCTGTCATCCCGCCATAGGTAGCGTCAATATTAAGCCTTTATACACTCGTCTTACGTGGTCATCGACATGAATGAATGAGCGTTTCGAGATGATTTACCAGTAAGAATGTCACACTACACCTGTGTGTCTTTTCATGTCATTGGACAGCCTTCATACACGCCGGAAAGATTAATCTGAAGAGGTCTTTGTGGACTTTTTTCTATCTCAGATGTGCATGAAATGTTGAAAGCAGTATACCCTGCATATGACATTATCATTTGGTCAGCTACCAGGTAAAATGTGTGTTTTTTTTCTAAGAACTCATGTTTTGTTTGCGACAATGTGTTCTTTCCTACTTCCATGAGCTAGCAGGAACAACCCGTATGATGGAAAATATTTTTGACCACAACTTCGAAGGTAGGAGCTGAAGATGTGTTACATTTGTATATACGTGTGTTAATTGCTCCTTGTTTTACAGCTTAAAATGGGTAGAGATAAGGATGAAGGAGCTGGGAGTGCTCAACAATGAAAACTACAAGATAACAGCTCTGCTGGACCACCTTGCCATGATCACTGTACAGTCAGCAAGTCGTGGGGTCTTTGACTGCAAACCTTTGGGAATTATCTGGGCGAAGTGTCCTGAGGTACGATCCAAATATTTCCGAAAGTTCTTGACGTCATAGTCTGTGCCACTGCAATCTTTTTAACGGTGACGTCAATTTACTCAATTATGTTGTAGCAAGAGCACTATTATAGATTTGGTGATACTTTCGACAGTAGAACATATCAGTCGATGTCTACATCGTGTGAACCTACGTTCTGTTTTGTACTTGTCTTAGAGATTTGATTATATTTCTTTTATTATTTGTTCGCATCTCAATGAGAAAAAATGAGTCAAACGATACCAGCTTTTACTGGCGCATTGTGACATCAGATTATCTTCATTAGATTGTCATAAGTGAGCTACTGACGATTTCATCTTGGGTGTTTACCTGCAGTATCATTCTGGGAATACTATAATGTTTGATGACTTGAAACGCAACTTTGTTATGAATCCTCAGAACGGTCTTGTGATCAAACCTTACCGGAAAGCTCACATGAATCGAGCAACCGATAGAGAGCTGGTCGGTCTTACCGAGTATCTGTTGTCAATAGCAGAACTGGAGGATTTGAGTCACTTAGACCACCGCAGATGGTACGAATATATAGAGCACCAGTGGAAGCCTTGATTCGATGTCGGGTTCATTGGAGTGGTGCTAATCGTAGTAAAAGAATGTGACTCGCATCCTCCGTAGATTGTACGCTTCACAAACAGAACTTCAGCCACTTTTTTCTAGCCTGCCTGCACGTGTAGTGCTTGCCGCTATGTGGCAAAGTAGAGTTGAGGTTCATAGTGAAGTGCAAACTGCCAGAGTCATGGACAACAGCAGTACAAATTTATGGGCATGCCCACTTTCAGCGCATTCGTATCTAGATGAGTCAGGCACAACGCTTGAGTGGACAATGATTCAAAACCCTCAAGCTGGATGGACCGCATGTACATTTTGTAACTATATTCGAAATCGAAAATTCAATCCATCTTCAAGGGGACAGTCTTTGTAGTGCGTGTTTTGTGGCCAATTAACATCTGAGCCGCCACGAGTGTCCAACTTTGAGTTAAGATTGTCCGAAAGGAATCCAAGTAATCTCGACGCCACTATGCATATCTTCATATGCAAAGAGTTGGATTCTTCATTCTGGTTTCTGTTGCAAACAAGGTGCGAAAGATTATCGCTTGAACTGTTTTCTGTTGACTGTTTTCGGTTTAACAGCAACTTGGTTGGCCCTGTTTCTAGCCGCGGGCAGATCTGTAAAACAAATCAATTACCCCAAAAGTGTGGCACTTTTTATTGGACCACCCAGAAGCCTCAAACACGTTGAGGTTAGCAGAGTATCGAGTAACGGAACCTTGATCAAAAGACATCTTCAGGGCACGACCGTATGGTATGGGGCACTCCTTATTCAAGAAGCTACTCCCATAAATAGAGAAACTCAGCAGCATTAAAACACAAAGAGAATAGAGCGGAATGGCAGGCGAATTCACAATACTTCAAATTGGTCTCCACAGCCCTCTTCGCAGCTAGTAGAAGTCTTCCAGATTTCACTATTAGAGTGACACTTGTGAGCTCGTGACTGATCTCATCTTAGCTTGTGCGCCACTCTCTTTGGATGGTATCTTAGATGGGGGTTTGGTCTTCATAGTGCGTTGGAATGGAGCTCACCTTTCATTTCAAAGAAAATTGAATTTTCTTGTAAATTCCCTAAATAAATCGTTTCCCGAAATTCTTTTCTGATTCCCATACATTATTCATGGACTTTACAGTACTGCTTGCATTGATAACCGTGACTGCAAGTTCAATGAAGAGATGGGGCAGGGCCAGATTGAACCGGCGGGTTACTCACGCCCAGGAATCGTGCTCTGTAACGTAACTGAACTTTCTATCCGAAAAAATGAACAATTAGTAGATTTGATCGTTTTAGAATTCTTCATGTATCAATTTCAGGTTTATTCAAGTTCAATGTGAAACTCTTCCTCCAGTCGCTATTCCAAATCTTTTTTATATCTCTTCTTGAGTCATAACTTGCAAGAGAATGTGCTTAAAATGTGTATTATGCTTGAATCGAATGGTTGAGAACATCATGCCGTATTGCTCTGAAATATGAATCATTGGGCAAAGTTCTCTCCAACCTAATAGGACATAACATTAACATAATAATTTTGCAATGATTATGTTCATGAATATGAATGGGATAAATTCAAATACTGTTGTCACTGTTACAAAAATAATCTATGAGTATCAAAAGAAATGTAATGCTTTCTAGTCTCAAAGTAACTACTTTCTGGTAAACTTTTTTATAAGTTCGATAATGGATTCATATTTGATGTGTACTTTTGTGTAGACAAGTTATCAATGACTTTACTACTAAAACACTTCCACCGTATTAAATTAAAAGTTACTTGTTTTGGATTTAAAGAAATCTTGTTGCTAATTCTCCAAAGCTAGTAATAAAAGAAGTAACAAAAGTAGAACATAATGGGAAAGAAGAGAAAACTTCTCATCTTGGGCTTGAGCATAAGATTAAATTAAACTGATCACTCGTAGATTTTTAGAAACCATTTTACATTTTCTCATCAATTGATTGTGCAGAAAAATCAACCTAACGTTACACTTATCTCTGTTCATAATTTTTAAACAAAAAAGTATAAATATTATTCAAAAATATGGATTATGATTGATATCAGTGAAAAATACCATGTAGAAGTTGCTTCCACTAAATGTTGAAAATTTCTAATTGAAGATTTTCAAGATGTTGTGCAAGTAATAAATCAAATTTGAATAAAATGTGGTAACTGTAACTCTGGCGTTTGATTTGTATAGAGGAACATGACAATATATAATTTTCATGGAAATGGATATATAACCTATTGAACGTATGAAATTTAAAGCGTTGAAGTTGCATCTTAAATGGTTTCCAACTTGTAGAAAAACCTTGGAGAAGGTTTAATGGAAAAAATGTCATGTAGTTTTTGGTTTTGCTAAAAATAGCGTCAAGCCTAGGGTTTCAAGTCGTAGGGTATAGGTCAAAGACGGCTTGAAGAACATCAGATCTTCAAGTCGAGCCTAGCGCGTTGGGGGTAGTGCCCGTGAGCGTCAGACCTGGAGTCTCCGAGTGTGGGGTGGGTTGGGCTTGACTATGTTTGTAACGGTGACGGTTTTGCCAGTAGGGTAAAACGACCGACGAGAATTCCAGTGGAGAATCTCTCGTACTTTTCCAGTTGTGACATATGTGTGCGTATGTATATGTGAGTAGCATGTCAGCGATGTAGGATGTATGGCGATACTTATTCGCACGACAACACGAGTAAGTAAAAAAGTAAGAGAAAAGTGTAGAAAGTTTTATTAAATGCAGAAGAGTAGCACAAGGAAGTAGAACAATTCACCATAAACCGGTTCAAATTGTGGTAAGATACTATGCTACCTAACAAAACACATTTTAAAATGTTGGTCACACAAAATTCTTATTTCTTATTTATTTAGACAATTTTTGAAGAATTATTTATAATATTTCAGTTCCTATATTGTACTTGGACTGAACAACAAAAGTATTGTGATATTTTGACGTTCCGAAATAAAGTAAAGAATATATGAGGTGCACACACACATACATATCCATTAGAAAGGTACATTGAAACCTAACCTTGCCCTATCTGACTCAAGTAGTTTCACCTAAAGTTTTAAACTAAACTAAGTCATTTCTTCTTATTGGCCATGCCTTTCTTTCCTTGATATTACAAAAGCAACGTCCCTGAAAGTACAACATACTCAGACCCCCTCGAGATTGTCTTCTCCCGGCCCAACAACAGAAACAATCAAAGAGCAAATTACGACGAATAAATTTAATTTTCAATCAGTAAATGGCTCTATAACGTATGTATAACGTATGTGTGCTAGCATCATGTTTTTAAGTAAATATATGATATTCACGTTTTGGGATTCAAGTGTCGCATGAAAGCAGTCAGGCTTTTTATACTGTATTTCAGGAATTGAGAGGAAAAGTCAAGGACTCCCAATCACATCCACTTGGACCATACTAAGATCATGAGTGGTACCGATGTCGGCCTCTACGTTGATTCTTGAAATCAAAGAACACCTTTTTAGAACTGCTTGAAAGCTCACAGGTGAGTTTTGTTGCCACAGTGAGTTCTTGTTGTAAGACTTGCGAGCTGTGACAATCTTTATATACACATTCCGAAGGTAACGGAAGTTTTATACCTCAACAACGGCAAGTATATTCCTGCCGAGCTGTCAAATCGTAGGCAGAAGATTGAAGAATTCACATGTGGCTTATTGAACTCTTTTGAGGAGAAAAGTCAAAGATTTAAAAGGTCTAAATGCCTTTTCTGGAACCAATGATTGTAAGGAGCAATAATATTATGTGCCATATTTCGAGGTTCCATATGTGAATGTGAAACTAAAATTACTCTTCTGTGTTCAGTCTAATTACAAATGAATAGTTCTTCTCTCACCTCCTTGTGGCGAGACATGAAGACCAGCTGGATTAGTCGAATCATCGGGAAATCCTCTGGTTGTCAATACTCAACACCGTGTGCAGACTGTGTGAATAACCTGTAGAAGAATCTCCATTTAAAATATTTTCCTCGACGATAATCTCATGAAAAGTGGGAACATTTCAGTAGGAATCAGGTCATCTACGCCGAATCTTCTATCTCGATCATTCCAAGTTTGGAGAATATGCTTACGCGAGGACATAGTGCATTAGCAGACTCTCAGTATGTTGAAAAGAACATTCTGTTGGTACATTAAACCTAGACCATATACATGAATGCTATACCGTTGGGCGATACATACCCCATGTGTGCCTAATTTCCTACGTCCATCATTGGTTGATGAATGAATACAATTCTTTCTTCATGATAGATTTTACAGACTGGACTACCACTCACATGTGGAGCGCAGTTTTTTCTGCGCTTGAGCCAACTATGCTAGAGCAGATCACAACGTTGACTAGCTGAGTCTGGATATATCCGATCACCTGTATGTGGTGATCATGAGCATCATGAACATACCGTGAAAAGAACCAATCCATTGTAATTTTTTCTTTATCACATGTCAGGCCGTCGTGGAAAAGATCACATCCTTACACACTCCAGCTTGATTTCTTTCGTGTTTTCTTATCCATCAAGTTTGATGAGTAGAAACATACAGCAGGCTAAACTGGGACCAACGTGAACTATGATACTATTGACGGTCTGAACATCCAGATAAGACCAAATTGAAATGTGATGTTTGATGCTCTCTAAGGATGAAGAAACAGCACTGCCCAGTATTCCTTTGGTGCAAGAACCTGTCAAATGAATCAGTGACTCAGAATAATGCCCTGCACAATTTACACCTGATTCAAGAGAAGAAGACAATTCTGCACAGTACTGTAACACTCTGCTAGCCATTGAAGTTACATTGCAGAAGGACTTTCTCCCTCCCACTGTACACAGGCTTAGTGCAATAGGCCATTTCTGCTCTTTCATCCTTGGGCTCTACACAAATCCCAGCTGCTGTAAAGTTGCGCTTCCACCACCGATACTCGTCTTGTATTTGACACACTTAATCGGTCCTGCATGAGAAACGTTTTAGAATGTGAGCAATCGTTCTATACACCTTCGGAGTAACTACGCACGTAACATTTGCATCGATGGTACAAAACGTTGAATTTCACTGAATATGATGGTGTGGAGTCGCTTCATTCCTTTGTGTGAGAGAGATAGTCAAGTATGGAACATGATAATGCTTTCCAAAGTATATCCGTTGAAGAACATAGCAGAACAGAGCTCATGAACTGTGCTGCAGATCAATACCAGGCACAGAGTGAGCGAGCGATCGACTGTAGAGGGCCCAGGCACCACAACCCCCCCACCCCCATGCAGTGATGATGATCGACGAGCTCAACAAGCAACTGAGGAGGGGCTGGCCAATCGCCACACGGTCGTCTACTGTCCATGACTCCATGCTGCTGCCACTGTCCGGTCCCATGATGTTGTTAGCTGGTGAAGAACGCCCTCGATACAGGAACTTGTACCGGGGTCTCCCCAGGATAAACATATTGACTTTCACCCAGGAGAGTATACATTGTGTACATTGTATACATTCCGGTGCCGGTAAGTTAGAGAACGGCCTCGCTACGAGAGCCAAAGGAGCGCCGGATTTGACGGCGTAAATGATTGTGTGAAAAACAGTGCCGCCGTATGTAGCGAAGCCAGTACGCTCCATTAGTGGAACTACAGCTTGAAAGGGAGGGCCACAGGAGCGAACACAGAGCCCTTGCGAAGGACGAGAATGTAGGAACCCACCCAGCTCCGGCTGACTTCCCCTCCAACGGTGAGCCGATCCAGGATAATACGGTGTGACGCTGTCGAGCGCTGGTTGGGGCTGCTGTAGGAGGCTCCTCTGGGAATGTATGGGGAGGTCCAGAGGCTGTGGCAGACCCGCCATTTCAGAGCAGCATCATGTGGAGGTGCAGCTAAATTTAGCCTAGCAGCCGTCCCGGTCGCTTCTCTAAATGTTACTCCGAACCCCGGACTACAGATTGTAGGGACGGACTATGCCACTTGTCACAACAGTGACTCCCTTCCGTCGAATCGGGTTACGCCGTGGACAAGGTTTTTATATATTATGGTAGAATCTTTCACTGCACGTTTGTCAGATACGTAACGCTCCTGCTCGGTTAGCTTCGATGCGGACTCTTTATGGCGGGCTTTTATCAATATATGTGTCCGACTTCGAGGGCTCGTGATCGCTGGATCTCGTCCACAATCCCTTTCGGTGGTCGCATCGGAGAGAGTCGTGAAGCGTTCCCTCGGAGCAAGGACCTACAGGAAACTAGAGAAAGTCTAATGGCATACATGACATGCCACGTGCGGTCAACTTGCGGTCGCGCCTTCCCATCCCATCGAGGTTTCCTCACTTTTACAGTTGGACGAATAATTATGCTGATATTTGGGTCAAACGGCTGGAATAATCTCAAGTATTTTAAAAAGCTCTCGTTAATTTATGTGAAAATTCTACGGACTCTCGTGAATATATCTGATAGATTCCTCACAAGATTGAGAAAATGGGTAGGAAAAAGAATACTCGCCCACTCTAAGGCAGACAGACACGCCCTGGAGCAGGGGAAGAAAGGCGCGCAAAAGAGTAGACAGGTACGCAGACCAGTATGTGGCCAAAAGTGACAAAGGTGTCATGACCTCGGTTCGAGCATTTCTGATGCACAGTATGCGGCAGAGGAAGGGAACGGGAGTGGGGACGCCGTTCGCTGGAAGGACCTGACCAAACCGACATCGGGTCAGCGTCGTCGAAGACCCGCGCCGCGTGCCCATCTCGCCCAGAAGACCAGAGACAGTCCCGCCCGCAAACGCAGAATCTGGCCATATCATTTGGGAGGAGCGGTCCGCTGACCCGGGCCCCTTCGGATGAGAATGTGGCAATGTGCAGTGTGCGACCCTCCAGCTGTGGCACGGAGGGCGCATCCCGGAATGGCTACAATGTGTCAGGTGTCAGGCCGAATAGCGGACTGCCGACACAGTCGTGGGTGGATCGGCCTTCGCGGCAGCCCGTAAAGTTGAACGTCTACGTTTGCGGCACGAAGCACCGGGCAAGACGCGGTGCCGCAGAACATTGCGGCGCGGTCAACCGCGGGCGCGTCCGCTAATGGAAATGATGCGCCCTAAACATCCGCTGTCGCCCGCTCGATAAAGTCGGTTACTTGCACGAATTTTTGAACGACGTAGTGGAGGAAGCGGGCAGGAGCCGATGGAGGCCGGGAGCGCAGCAAGACAGGGTCGGATGGATCTGGATGGCGCCCGCGGTCCCGACGCCGACGACGTCCTTCAGGTGACAGATATGTCGTCAACAACAACGTGATGCCCAGCACGCGCTCTGCATCGGCCAACATTGAGTTGCGCACATACTCAATTCGACGCGAGCCTACGCGCCGCGGACGATCGGGAGCGCTGAGGGCCGCGCTTGTGTGACATGCATCGGCTGTGTCGATTGTTGCTTCGTGCGGGCGGGACTGGAAGTGTGAGTGCACACCGAGTGCGAGAGTCGCTCGAGTGAGCGGCGAGCGTCGAGGCTGGAGAGAGGAAGAGAGGGAGAGAGGAAGAGAGGGAGGGTTGGAAAAGGCCAGAGACGGGAGCAGGAGAACGAGGGCTGCGAGGCGGAGGCTGAGAGTGCGTAGGTTATGATGAGCGAGGTGTCGACGATGAGACGGAGGAGTTGTCTTGCCTAGGCGGAAAGGAGTTTGGCCGGGTTCAAAGCTGTGCTCGTTTGTCTGGTAGAGACTGTATGGTCTTGGCGTAATACAGTGCATTGTCGCAACGCGTCATCTCGTTGCTTCTGTTCTGCGTTGGTCTTTGTCACCTCATCTATATCGTGCCGCACGTCCCTGCTCCTTGACTGTTAGGAGGAATCCGTAACCAGTTTGCCGGCAATTCGATACCGGTGCTGAAAGTAAGGCTCAATCTTGTAGATTTTTCCTCCTGTTTGTTCTTGCAATCCGTCCGATACTTGCATTGCATGTAGCCGGCGCTGTTAGTCCGCTTCATGCCGTACTTGTCTGGATACTGTGTCAGCGCATGAGTATGGAATGAATTTTGAATAGATCGGCTTCTGTGACTTGCCCATTCTGATCGTGTACTCCTCAGTTTCTGGCTCCTTTAGATGCAAGCACGCTGTGATTGAATAGCAAAAACAGAGCATGGATTTAGGTCTCTTGTTGCTGCTCACACTGTAGTGTAATCGCATTGATCAAGTCTTTGAATCTCCCGTTGAAATGTTTTTTGCACAATGCTAGCGTAAATGTTTGTTCAAAGGCTTCCGTATTTCTTAACTTTCAACACCAAGCTAGCAAGCGTGGTGATGAAGTCGCCTCAGAGTCCTTCCTGAAAGTTTGAAGAATGCCGGTTCTTACAACACTGCGCATTTGTCGCTCACCTGATTCTCAAGTGTATCTATGCGTATGTTCTGTTGTATGTTACACATAGTTTCGATTTATTTGTTCAGTCTGACGATTCGCGACACCACGTATGAGATGATTTGAACTGAAATTTGGTCGAAAATTGGCTATGTTGTACGCCAGGTTTTTAAGTTTGCATGATTGTTGCACTGAACCTGAAGGCTGCCAAGTGTACAGTCCTGAAAGTTGAGATTCATGGCATGGTCTCCATTAAATCTCCATGTTTGACAAAATCTGGATGGAGGATCTTTAGATTGGTATTTCCTCGCGCCGTGTGTCATACATTCATATGGGATGCAACCCACGAGTTAAAGCACGAAATTAACAACATTTTGGTCTTGGCCGACTACAACATCATGTCTCTTCATGTGCAGTTGACCCAACCAATTCTTCTCAATAATTCCCACCCTAGGCGGTCTATGCCAAGTCCTGGCAATTGATACTCTTCGTTCGGGTTTTTGACAGGTGCTGTAAGGATTTCTCGGAGGAAACTTCTTCTTGAACGGTCATATCACTTTCTCACGGATCGTCAGGTGGTGTTGAGGAGAGCGGCCACCATTCGTTTCCCTCCATGATCTTGTAGAGCTTTGGTATGATTAGGATTAGTTGCTCTGTGGACTGGACAACTCCTTGACGTGCTGATCACCTGCACGTGACCTCAGATCGCAGCTCCATTAGAGGCTGCTGAACTGAAACTTTCACATCAAAAGGGTCGTCAAGAAGAGGACTGACCCGCATTTGTGTTGGATCGTTCTGAAACTGTCAAAGAAGCAGTCAGTGGGAGAGAAATGTGGAACTTGTGAAAGAACGTAGAATCGTGCTTGCCGCACACAAAACTCCCTCGTTCAACAAGCAAGAATATTCTAATTTCTACAAAATCTTGTTCAAGTGCCTCTCTTCGGTGGTAATTCCACACATGCGCAGTTGTTGCTAGAATGAGAGAATTGCGACTACGTCAATCTATACTTGGGTCTTGCAGAGCAGGAAGGCTGAGTAATTGTAGATCGAGAAGAAAGAGGTAGTATTTGCTGTCCTTTTTGTAGAAAGACGGAGTTAGAATCTCAAAGCTGTTTTCATCTCTCAGACATATTCTTCATGCCATGCCACAGCTATTTACCGAATGCCCACTATATGTAGTTATTTTCCTTGCCTGAATTCTTGATGAAAGTAAACGATGAGAACGACCCATTTGTGGAAGAACATTCTGAGTCTCCCTGTTGACGAGGAGTAGAGGTAAGTTAGGTGTACCATTCTAGAAGGTAGCTGTTTCGAAGTTCTCTACCAGGAAGTACAGGTGGTTGGAGTATGAATGGGGCCCACAGCATTTCAGAGGCTGAGAAGAAAAGGATCGAAGAGCTTGAATTCGAACCTGGGCCTGTCCCTCCTCTGAGGCCAGTCGATCGATTTGGCTTTCTCAAGCCAGCGGGTTCTCCTGCCGAAGTTTCTAGCAAATCAACTTCGAAGCCCCAGAATGAGCGCGAAAGGTAAAACCAAGGACTTCTTTTAGAATGTAATTTGTCTTTGTGTTTGGTGATATAGGACGGTGCAACGTCTTCCCTCCATCTCTTTCATGTAGTTGACTGCCATAAGAATATATTCTCTAACAAATGGATTGTTGGAATCATCCAGAGAAGAGCGAAGGTTGAGAAAATGGCGGAAGATGATTGGCGTTGGAGGGACAGATTGGAAGCACTATGTCAGAAGAAAACCACATGTGGTGAAGCGGAGAATTCGGAAAGGAATTCCTGACTGTCTGAGGGGACTTGTTTGGCAGCTTATTTCAGGAAGTCGAGATCTGTTGCTCATGAATCAAGGCGTCTACGAAGTGAGTACCTCTTGTTGCGATCCAGCAATCTTAGCTCATAAATGTCAGAAGAGCCGAATTGTTTTTCTCGGCAAGGCTCATTACGTAATTGACTTGAATTTTTGTATCTCTCCACAGCAATTAGTTGTGTTTGAGACGTCAGCTGCGGAGCTGGATATAATTAGGGATATATCTCGAACCTTTCCTTCACACGTGTTTTTCCAACAAAGACATGGACCAGGGCAGCGATCTCTTTACAATGTACTCAAGGCATACTCAGTGTATGACAGAGATGTCGGCTATGTACAGGTAATGACTTTCACTCAACTCGTATCATGCCAAGTAGGATTTCCTCGTCGTGTGTTTTGATTCCCGAGATTTGGCGGAGGTCTTGGTGTGTCTTACCCAATGATGTGAAGATATAGGGAAGTCTTTGAAATACGTAATCGTGTAAGATGTTGCTTCTTTAGTTTTCTCAACTTATTCCCTTCAACTTACATCCATGTTGTGTCGAAAGATTGCAAATTCGTTATACTCCCTAGCTGATTTGCGTATTAATTTAGAGGTTCTTCAGAACGGAAAGATAATATTTATATCGCAAAACGACGTCCTCTCTCAATTAGTGCAGAGGAGCCCTCCTAATTTGTAACGCCTAATGGCTTGGAGGAATTCGGCTTGCATTAATCAAAGCGCAAATTTGCAAGAACTTTTACTGCAACTGTTCATCTCAAATGCATTGCTTATATGGATTGCTTTATTCAGGGCATGGGATTTTTAGCCGGTCTACTGCTTTTGTACATGAGCGAGGAAGATGCCTTTTGGCTACTTGTAGCGCTGCTCAAGGGTGCAGTTCATGCACCGATGGAAGGACTCTATTTGGTGAGTTCCACCCTCCTGGACAACTTTTGTTTCGTATACACACAGTGGTCATGATAACCAAATATTAATATTTGACTGGATTCATATCTCTACCATTTGTGCCGGGTTGGTTCGCTGTGAGAGCTGATTGAAGGTTTCATTATTTATTTAAACGTGTACATATGCATTTTTGTCGAGATATCAGCTTCACTATTTCCAAATGAACATCTTACGTTTTCTTTGGATTTGACTGTTGACGGGCTGAAGCTGTTAATGATATTGTGGCTCCCAATGCTTCTGTGATTGATGATTGTGTCCATCTTGACAATTGGATGAGGCAGGCAGGGCTTCCTTTGGTTCAGCAGTACCTATTCCAGTTTGAGAGGCTTGTACGTGAGCAGCTGCCAAGACTAGGTGCTCACTTTGAGGAAGAAATAATCAACCCCAGCATGTATGCAAGCCAGTGGTTCATCACTGTGTTCTCTTATTCCTTCCCTTTCTCGTTGGAGTTGCGAATATGGGACGTCTTCCTTTACGAGGTTCGTAATCTTATCTATTTTGAACTATGCATCTTACTTTCTAAGCCTTCTTATAAAACGAAAGTAGCACCAGAATATTAGCAGAAAAAATGAAATGTTTTAAAAGTACATGCTGGATATTTTTGTGTGTCAGTGATCTTCTTGCTGAAAAAATAGCAGGCTTATGTAGCATTGTGGTGATCCTTTGTGCAGGGTGTCAAAATTGTGTTCAGGGTCGGTTTAGCATTGCTGAAGTACTGTCATGATGATCTGGTAAGCTGAGTACTTTCAGAGACTCTCAAGACTGACGAAATTGAGACTGTTCAACATCTGACAACTTGTTGCTGCAATTCAAACTGTTGAATAAGTGAGGACTTGAAAGCACTCTGTTTCTCTATAAGAGTAAAAGTCTTAGTCATTCCCTCGACATGCCCCTTGTATATTTCTCTGATAAAAGACCTTCGGCTGTTTCTTCTGGATCCAGGTGAAGCTACCTTTTGAGAAACTTGTTCACGCTTTACGCAATTTCCCAGAAGACTCCCTTCAACCAGATACTCTCTTGCCGATGGCTTACTCTATAAAGGTACGCTCCCTCGAGTCCATCGTAATGCACGTGAGTCCTTTGTCTGGGTATATTTTTTTGACTTGCTGTCTCGGAGAGGATGTAGAGCAGTTGTTGATCACGATTATGCTTCTGTGCTTGAATCAATAGCTACTGGCCGATCCTGTGCAATGAATGCCGGGTTCTGCCACGTACTGCGCCGATGCATTCTTGCATTCCAAATTTTACTTCACTTTTTCGTCCCTGTTCTTGTCGAGAGGAATAGTCTCGGCCTGTAGCTTTTTACGCTCCTACAGGCAGTTATCACCTTGCACTGGCCTGCTGTGGAGGTAACCTCTAGGCCCTTTAAAACCTCCAGGACCTGTAATTTCTTTCAGGCAACCTTTCCGGGTTCGTCACACACTGGGGATCCTCTCTCAAGTGTGCCCAGACCTTCACAGGCCCTGGCTTCTGCCAGGCTACTTTTCTATCAATCCAGCTGGGTTCGTTTGTTTGGGAAAGTGTGTAGTGTTCAACAAAAATACCTCCCATGTCAGTGACTTCAATTCCTTTAGATCGAATTACATGGGTTTTTTTTCATCCACCAACTTTGGAAATCGACGACCGCTATCAAGGGTCCAACATATATTCACTTCAGAAGAGACGCAGCCTAAAAACGTGAAACGAAACAGAAGTGATTTACTTATCAAAATTATGATGTTATATGTAGTGTAGATTTATGACAGTTTGTGTAAGTAAACTATCTGTATTGATGAAATTGTCTAACGTCCCTGTTTTATGTCTTGTGGAGTATCTAGCTTAATTGACGAAATATCATTAGAACACATATCATAAAACATTTACAACACTTTTAGACCAAGTTGGATATTCTCTGGGGACGCCGCCGAGATGCGTGATAGTTATAACAGATTCCCTAACATATGTTTGTGAAGGTCAAAGCCTTCTGTTACGTCTACCGTGCCTGCGTACACCGCACTACCTCTTTGATTTAGCTTGTATTCCACGGTCATTTTGATCTTAATTATCTACCCCTATTTGGCCTTGTGAATTAAATGCGTAAAGGATACACATTTGGCCGTATGAAGGGTGATGTGAACTTCCACAATGCCAAATGCATATCGTTATACGTGTATTTCCTATATACTGTTCATCCTTTACGGCTCCTGCCTTTCTTTGACCTCCTGCGTTCTTTCTTGAAGCTGGAGATCAACTTTCTTATTGTCTACGCATTTTAAATCTACCTGTGATGGATCTGGTATACACCGTGACCTGTGTGAAAGCTCTGATAAGAATTCGCACATAGGAAGTGTGCATATCTTTTCTTCTGTTCCATATTGAAAAAGCTATTATTTTATATTGATGTGGAAGAGGGCAATTTTTTATGCCTCTGTACGATTTGGCTCTTATATTTGGCTCTTGGGGCTTGCCTGCAGGTATCGCGACGTTTGGAAGAGCTGCGTCAGGAATACATATTAATGACTAATCCTTTACCACCCGATGAACTTGTTAAGCAGTCGAGCTCCAGAGAGCAACGTACTGAGCAACAAACACCCCGTGAGGGAGTGTTCACCTGTTAATAAAAACTGTCCTTTGGTGATGCACATATTGGAAGATCACATTAAGTTTAGGATATTCTGCTGTCATATGTGGCCATTTAATTCATTAAAAGAGTAAATCAAGCTTCTCATCAAGTCAACACTCCTTTCTCCATGATGTGATTATTTACGTTTATGTTGTTGAGTCTACAATCTCATGATTTATCATGTCTAGGGTTTTTTTGCTGGTATGAGTGATAGAGTTGTATCTACTCGGGGAGCTTATTCTTGCATCATATCTGGTGAGTGGTCTGTATGCTTTCCAAAGTAAGCGGTTCTATTACGGGTTTTACTTGACAACTCTTGAACCTCTTGCTTCTCAGAAAGTGTGTGGCACCACAAGCAAATGGTTGAATGTTGGAATACAGCATTGGCGATGCCGTTCTAGAACCATACCCGGCGACCTACAGAGATTTCATTTTGACAGGTCACACGCGATTGATTATGAAGCCTCATATCCTACTCAAGTGGATTCAGTGGACGCATCAGTACCCGAGAGGGAGATAACTCAACCTCATAGGAAGCTATCTGAGGATGGTGAATCGTCTGTTTTGGTTATGAAGAAGAAGAAGTCTCTGCTTCCAACGCCCGCATGGCCCGATATGGAAGAGATAGGCGTCGTTGAAACCGCTGAACTTTTCAGGTCGGATAAGGCCTTGAAGAGAATCGCAGGTGAACGAGCGAGGAGCCGTAGAAGACAAGCAATTAGCTTCGATGTCTCACTGCACGATGAGGCATCATCATCCAAAAGTGCCACTCGCGTCCGCACCGGTGAGGAGTCTATCGATCCTTCGTCTTCACTTGCGAAGAAAAAGGCTTCGGTTTTCCTAATATCAGATTGGCCCGATATGGAGGAGATTGACGCTGCTGAGACAATTGAAATCTTTCAAAACAATCGGTCGCTTAAGAGAATTACGGACGAACAGCTGAGAGGACACAAACACGAATACACACGTCCGGAACCAGACCAAACCTAGCAGGGAAAGTCACCTCAGCTGAAAATTAGACTGTGCTGAACTGATTGTTTGCTTAGGCTTCGTATGGTCCCGGCCAATCTGTGACAGCTACAGCCTCCGTGCTGTTTGATTGAATGAGGTCCTTTAGAGTCCAGCTATCGTCATGCAGAGAAAGTGATAATATCTGACGATGAACCGAATGTGGGAATAATGAACCCGCACGACGTCCCCGCGGACAAGGACAATAGGGACCTTGCGTGATCTCTGCTCATCCGAGGGAACTTCCCTTGTCGTTGAAGAGAACGAATTTTGCAGTGTACCTCAACATCCAAGTAGAGCAGGTACCACGACTAAACGTCTCTCGGCCCAGAGCAACGGTTAAGCTACCCCATAAGCTATCAGTCCATTTAATGACTGCCTAACAATCAAGTAGTGAACCTCGAGAGTTTTTTGGGGATGTCAAAAAATAATAATCTTCCAAGCTATATTTCTTTTCGTAAAACGCGTTGCATGAAAATAACCTGTCATAAACTTCGAGATAGACCCCTACCATTACGATCAAACTGCGAGATTGTACGATACCGTATATACTAATATGTTGTCCGGCTGTCCAAAACTTGCTTTTGATGCTGAGGCAGATATGCAGCCACAAAGGCTTCTGGAACCTGTAGAGGTTAAATGTCGAGTGATAACAATAAAAGCACAATTCGTCTACAAAACTAATACAGCTGTCAATCCTAAGTGTATTTCTCATCAAGTGTATCCATCATCACACTGAATACAAAAATTTATGCAAATATATGTCAGGGCTGCTCAGAATAGATATCATGCATATCAAATCAAATAATGACTAGAATTATGGACGATTTAGTTTAAAGAATCAAGCTTAGCCAGTAACTCCGTAAGTTCCTAGCATGATATTTGAAGAAATCATCGTATTCTACATCAATTTGGCCCCCTTATTATTTAAAGACTATGTTTACATTTGTCAATTGCTGCCAAGAACTAAGTTTCCACCATAAAACATAGCCAGGACACCTACCCGATCTGAGTAGTAGAAGCTTTCAGTTTCTGTATATGAGCTCTAAGGAGAGTGAGCATAACTGACTAGAATATGAACCACAAACTACAATTGGTCTCCTCTATAACACCTGTCTTTCTTTAAATGCTCCACTTTGGAAATCAGGGAATCAAGTGTTTCTCCGAACTATGTATGCTGCGTTGTGGAAATAATTAAACTCTTTGCTGATCACTAAATAGAAGAATTGTAAAACTGAAAACCAATAGTTAAAGAAAATCTTCTAATATTCTTGAGAATCTGACGTATATTGATGTTATGGTGTTGCATGTTTATTTATATGATTTTTATTTTTATATTACATGTTAAAAAAACATGATTTCATCTTGGAATACATTGATGGAAAGTTTCAATATAACCCAGGGGAGTCAACATACATACCTTATACGGTCGATGATACACTTAGAAAATATCCATCAAAACCATAAGAACCCGTGATATTTACAACAAATCTGATGTCAAAAAAATTCTAGTCGCTCACAGTAAGACTTCCTGTTTATTGGCTTCCACATTCTGGATGACGTGTTTTGGTAGTACCTGGTAGTGGAACTCACGATATCTATGTCTGAGCAAAACAATGATAACATGGCTGAAACGTAGCGGCCACTCGATGTGAAATACAATTACTGTACATTTTAAAAATGGCTGTGGTTTGTTAGTTACACTAGAAGGGTTACTGCATTTGCTTACAATAAAATGGGAATATGTGCGCAACTTTGAATTGTCGTGACATCCGAAGTTGGCCTGTACGGAGCGAAAGCTCAACTCAACGGAACGGGGAGGCAGGAGACGTGGCAGGGGAACATGGAAGACCGGAGCCCAAGCCCAGCCCAGCCCAGCCCAACGGTCACAACGCGGTACGAGTTTGAAACGGAGAAAGATTCGTTGCTGCTGGACGAACGAAGCGTCGATTCTTGATGGTGGAAGTGCCGACAATTCGTCGAAGGCTGTGGGAGAGTGGGATGCTGAGATCTCTCGGCGTCGGTGAGTGAGTGCAGAAGGACAGTAGGTAGAAGCGCGACCATGGCCGGTGGCTCCAAACTCATGGAAGAGCTGAGAATCAGTGCAAGCGAGAAGGAGCTTCTGAAAGAAAAATTGCTCGTCCACTTCGATCGCTGGGGTTTCGACATGAACGCGCAGAAAGAGTCGGCTTTCGAAGTAAGCTTTGGAAGTGCCTGCCTCCGACGGGTTTGTGATCGATCAGCAATCGTGCAGTCTTGTGCGTTCGTAGCAGCTGTCGAGCTTCTTGGGCGTTCTTGCTTCTGATTTTGAGACCGTCGTGCAGATGGCCAGGGATCATGGGCTCAGAAGCGCCCAGCACTCTTACGAGCTTGCCCAAAGCAGACTCTTGCACGGCGTGCACATGCAGCAGAGTCTCGTGCAATCATATCAACTAGGTGCTCGCTCGCTCCTCCACTTGTATGCCACTTTTTCCAGGTCACATCAATCGCATCTTCTGGTTGTTTCGCGATGTTCCCTTTCCCCTTTCTCATGCTCCAAGAGTCCGGTTTAGTCGAGGAGAAGAGCTGCTGAGCTCAGCTGCTCAGGGGTAAGGTTCATTGATTCCGTGATCCACCGTTTGCAGAGTCAGCTCGCGATGAGGTCGAGGCCCTGACACAAGAAGTTCTTGGACTGAAGTTTGCTTTACAGCATGAAAAGGTACGAGCTCATAGGTCACCACCGAGCTGTAATCAATTGGTGGAGTTCGCTTCCCACAATTTGTGGACTATGCTGTGGAGAATCATCTATACAAGTCATTTCAAGTTTGACATCAAGAATGGGTAACTCTTGCTTCTGCTTAGGTTGCGGGAACCCAAACCCACAGATGAGATACGATTTTGATACGGTTTTGAGATAAGATACGGTTTCTGACAGAAACTTCCTCTTGAGCAAGGAGCCCTACGCAGTGCTGCAAATGTTGCTGCCTCTTCCTGCTATGTTCTACAGATGTTGAGGCGTCATCATCTAATTTCCGTGAAATGGTGGGAACGAGGTGTTTCAGGCCAAAAATGATCTCACGCACGACAAAATGAAGATGCTGAGATCAGCTCTGCAAAAAAAGTTCGCAATAAGAAGCAAGGCACTGATTGAAAAAGCGACGAAGAAATTCCGACAATTGGAAAGGTTACTCGAGAGTAGGGAGCGACGCTACGTAGATGCTGTCAACGAGGCGAACGAAAAGTACAGGGAGGATACAATGCAGCTCAATGGCCGAATTCAGCTGCTTATAGATGAAACGGAATCTCTCAAGAAGGAACAACAGCAGTGGAAATCGGACATGGAAGAATTGCAAATTATTTCTCTAGAGAGGCGCAAACTTCAGGCAGAGCTCGAGAAGTTGCAAACTATGCTAGAAGAGAGGAACACCACACTTGTAATCAAAGAGCACGACTTGCAGTTACTGGCGGATCATAGAGACCGACTGCTGACCCAGTTAGAAAAGTTGGATATGCAGCAAAGCGAACAACAGGTTATAACTGGTGAGAGGGATAGGTTACTGGCAGAGAAAGAGGAGGAGATGCGGAAACTCGCCTCAGATATGGAAAGTCTGATAACTCAAAAAGAAGAATGGATCTCGAAGGAGAAAGACTTACTGCAACTGAGGACAGAAAGGGACCAATTAAGGCGCAAACTGCAAATGAGAGAATCAGATGAGTTTTACAAGTGGGCAAAAGAGAGAGACAAGCTGGTGCATAAGCTTGCTCTTGTTCAATCTCAGCGAGAAGATGAAGTAAAAGGTCTGATTAGAGAAAGGGACTTTGTCTGGGATCAGATGAAAAAGATAGAGGAGAATTACAACCAAAGGCTGGACACAATTTCCGGACAGTTGATTCTGGCGAATCAAGAGAATACAAAACTTAAGCAAGAGTTACAGCAAGTACGCGTGGAAAGCAATGAGAAGATGGTTGAACTGACAATTCTGAAGTTAGAGGCGAAACGAGCAAAAGATGGTTTGACGCAACAGGAGTCCTTCGGAACAGCTATCAAGATGACCAGACAAGATGCGGCCGACGTTACTTTGGACATGGAGGCGAGTGAAGAAGAAGAGAGGAAGATAGTTAGTGAAGGACCCAAGAGAAATCTTCAAATGCTCGAGCTAACATCGCAGGTAGCGATTCTACAGAAACAACTTGACGCCCTCAACAATCAGAAACAATCAGACGTACTCGTCGTTCCCTCGAATGGGAGGCCAGAGGTGTCGAATGTGGAGGACATGTTAACCTCGGTAGGTTTTAAATACAAAATGCCCTTGGGCTCTGTTGTGTCGCAAGTTTGGCTTGTAGAGTTTACGAGAAAAGATTTCAGGAAACTCCAGCGAGAACCTCGCTGGAGCATACTGGAAATTTGTAGGAGTTGTACTTGTTTAGGACATACGAACCCCTTCATCATCTTGAACACTTCTAAAGCCGATGAAACGAGTGGACATGATGACATGGCCGACAGTTGGTGGTGACATCGTCGGTTTCATGAATTCGGTTTCTCAATTCTCATGTAATCGCTATGGCAGCTAGATCCTTCATCCCATGCTTGTGGCATCCATCGTGCCCGGCGACTGCAGCAAGTTTGATCCAAAAGTTGCTGTTCCGAATCCCACTTCTTATCGTCTACTCATTGTTCTCTAGGATCAGGATACTTTCGCCAGCCAAGTTGAGCAAGCTACCATAGTGGACGTCGAAGACGACATAAAAACTTCGAAAGGTGTTGAGGAATTACGCCGCGAGAATGAAAATCTCAGGGTGCTCTACGGTCAACTGGAGGCTCTTTACAAGGAACAACAGGTAAAGTCTTGAGTACAATAATTGCCCGTCATCATCTTAGCCTCATACCCGGTATGAGGTTTAGATGCGGGTGATTCTAGCGACATTCTAGAAGACCATACGTTTGTGGAAAGAATATACCGTCAATAGGTTGGTACTACATCTAATCTTTGAGCTGTTCGAACTCCAGAAGCCTGAGAAGGTCGCACGGAATGTCAGTCGTCGAGACCCAACAAGCCGCAATCTGAAAATCGAATTGGAGGCTGCTGCTGCTTTAAGTCCATCGAATGATGAGCCAGTCCCTGAACCGACGGTGGGCGAGATGAAGGTAAGTTGCATACCTGTCTATTTTGCTACAAAACGCAGGTTTTTTTATGGTCAACCTCATCTACGGTTGCAGCGTTGCGTAGCAAGCACAGTGTTGATGTTGTTCACGTTCAAAGGTTGAACCGCAAAATATACAGGGTGCCGCCTCGGTTGTATGATATGAGTTTCGCGTCTCACGCCTTTGCATACAACTTCTACCTCTAAAAAGTTTACTGGGAACATACTTCACTGCCATGTGTTGTAATTAAAGAAATTGGATTAATAGATTTTCTCTTCAGTTTTAGAGGTTAAACGATGTCCTCAAGGAAACGTGGATGTGTGACACTTCCTTGGAAATAGAAAAGAGACTGTAAAGGAATTGTTGAATATTTTAGAGGGATTTAAATAGGCTATAATCTTGTCTCTGGTGAGTTCTGGAATCGTGGTCATATGGGCTCGTTCGTCAAAGTTCGATATGGACCTCCTTGATCAAGTCTATTAGCCAGCTTTACGAACCTTCCTTCCTGCTTTCTAGCTTCCCTTTCCAAGCACCTTGATCACTCAAGTTTGTAGTTGTCGCATGTCCTGTTGTGATTCTCTAACGACTATTTCACCTTCTGAAACATCCCAGAGACGAGGCTGCCGCTCAAAAGCTGGCGTGTCAAAGCTCAAGTCAGCCCAGCAGACGATCGTGAAGGAAGAGGGCAAGCAGAGTGGACAGGAGCAAGAATTTTTAGAGATGGAGAAAGGGGGAACTTCCATCAAGAAGTCTTCATCTTCCAGGTTATCCAAGAGAAACACATCCAGCAGCAAACCCCCCAGACCAACTTCATCGAAGAGAGTTAGTACTCCAACCCTCACTTGTGTCCTCTCTTTTGATGGATCTTAAACAGAAGACTATGTCACCTGAATCCAGGATGATTCTACGATTCAGAATAACACAAACTAAGGAATCTTTGCAGACCCATAGTATTTGTCTGAAATCCTATTTTTCGGAGAAAAAATGTACTATAATGTTGACGCTGGACTGCTGTTCCCTGTGTGCCTGATGTTTTCTCAAAGTAATATTCATGAAAGAATGTATATTACGTTCTCGTCAGGACGAAAGCGTGGGTTGGCATGCAAATGGATCCGTGAAGAAGTCAGCAAGGGGGAAAAAGCCAGACGAAGATGTGAAAATTACTCCAGTAAGTCGCAACATATACAATGCTATTGGGTGGCACACAATGCTCCATTCAGTGTGCTGATCGTTGATTATACTTCTGTGTGGCAACTTTGCTGCTGCATGTTTCCTGTCTCCGATGGTTTCTCTGGGAGATAGTGGCAGAAGCATGTCTTTAATTTCAAGGGGGCACTCATCTTGGCCTCTTGTTAGGTTTCGGGAGTCGATTATTACGAGCAATCTCTACCCAAGACGAGTACAAGAAAGAGGAAAGGTGACAGCGCAGACCTCAAGGAGGCTCAGGTTGGTGGAAGCTGAACCTAGTTTCATCTAGAGATGAATGGATCGATTTTTCTCATGGAAATTTTTCCTTTCCTTCTTCACATGTTTCTGGGGTGTTCTACTGAGAGATTGTTCGAGGGAACGAAATTATTGCAATTCCTTGAGAATTCCAGAAAACTCTCGCTTCATTCCATATCTATCGTATCGAAATTAAACCTTGGTGGGGGTGATTGATCAGTCGGACGCTGTATATATGTGGAGGAAGGCGTCGTCTGTATTTTAGATTTCTAACTCCGAGTTGCTCGTGCAGAGGGTGGCTCTTCGAGAAGTATCCGTCAACTCGGGGAGCAAAACTCCCGCGAAGAAATCAAAACCACAGTCTTCACGAAAGCCTGAGAGTGAATCATTGGACTGTCACACTGCAAGCTCGGCCAAGGGAAGTCGTGGCCTTATGGCCGATCTATTCTCCTCTGCCTTCAGCATACCCAGACTCAATGTTGGTTCTTCTGCGAAGACCAGAACGTGACACCGTCCCATATACTCACGTGCACGGACAACTGGAAGGAAGGGCTTTCTGCTTATCGATACTCGGTCAGCCCCATGACCGATGGGCACGACCTTTTACTAGCAGCGACGGTAAATACTTCGTCATTTGCCATGAACTTCTCAAGCGGATGGGGATGTATTTCCTGGGCGATTTGGATAATTGTATGTTGAGCATGTCTTTCTGGCCTTTTGGGTGGCGTCAGTCATGAGGAATCATACACGTAATCTGGAAATATATGATGATTCTGAGCTTCATCAAATCTTGCAGGTTCATGTAGTTGACCCGTGACTTGAGACCAGTACTACATCCGAGGGGCCAGGATCACAAAATATTTCTCCAGCTGGCTATGTTGCATCAAAATTCTGATCAGCCGAGCAATCACTGCGCGTCATCGGTCGCGAACCCCGAGATGTGGATAATGGAAGTCAGGAGTTCTTGCACATGGTGGAATTCGTGAACTATTTTGAGAGGGCATGGTCTAGATTCCGCCTTCCGCTGTAGACTGCTCTTCATCCTGAACCGTGGTGTCGCGGAGATTACTGGCGAGTGTCAGCATTTCAAACAACCTTGCCTCGTTGCGAATCGTATTACAAATCACGACCTTCCGTTAGTCGGAGGTTCGTATGTTGCTTCAGCTGGCTCTGCTTCTGCTGCCGACGGTAAGCTCTTCTGTCCGTGTAACTGTATAAAGGTAGACAGTAAATTCATTCAGCTTGTTGAATGTATCGGACTGGATCGGTGATAGTAACCTCGGCTCGAGGTAAGTGTTGCAAGCGATACTCCAAATTCCGAGTAAATGTCGGAACAGTTCAATCCAGGCTTGTGTGATATGAGGTCTTCATTACACGTACTCTTCGCTTTACCGTAAGGTTCAACTTATAGAATCAGTTGTTGAGATGTGGACAGCGGCATATGTAGTGTGATGGCAGTTGTGCAAACATCGAACATCACCGTCACTTGGACTAGTATCCCACATCCCCTCCTAGAAATTTATTTTAACTTTCTGGAACCTTTCGCACAGGAGCGGAGAATCGCTCAAGTTGTAGAGTCCTGCATACTTTGTGTACAACTTCGAGGCTTGTTCAGTGCCTGGCCTGCATATGATTCTGTTGGAAAAATTCTGAATAAGCAACGAGGAAAATCACTTTGACCTTCGCGGCAAACTAGACAATTTTCTATTTGTGTATACATTGTCCCATCATTGCCACCGTTGTGCACTACACTCACTCATCGCCGACTTCAACTACAACCTCTGAGATTAAAGGCACAGGCAGGGGTTTGAAGCCAGGTCAATTACTTCACTTTCACTTGACATGTACGTCGCTAACAAATTCACTGCTGCAGCATTGGGCGGAGAGCGCCTCTACCACAAACTACGTCTAAATTGACATCTTTTACTCGATGACCGCATCAGACATGTAGTTACTCAGTCCAAGGAGGACGAAGATGGCCCGGCGTACAATGTTTATGTATCCATTGCAATAGCGCCTCAATTGAACGCCTCAGGATTTACGCTGTTTCATCACATCTCATCGTCTGAGTCCAGGAACACGCTAAAATCTGAATTTACAAATTGTTATCGTATACAATGTCTTCCATCCTTCAGTGCAGACAAGGACGATACTGTGTTCTCACGCCATGGATAAATACGGGGCAACAGTGGAAACGAAAGGAGATTGCGAAACGAGCTTTTGACCAACACACACAACGAACGCAGTGTGGCAGATCCGACCTGACCTGACCCGGCCGCACATTTAAGCTGTTCGTGCTCGTGCTTGCACGTGGAATGTCCTCCAGGAGACGCAAGTCCTAGAGTCTGGCTACGGCTGGAAGGGGACCGATGAAGGCAGGCAGAGAAGGGTCTGGGCAGGTGGAAGGTCGACGCTTCCTGGGACCAGTCAGGATCGGTACAAAGGCGATGGATGGATGCCAACTTCAACCCCTTTCTTGCTTGCTTGCTTGCCTCGTCGTACGATTCGGGACACTTTGTTGCAGAGACAAGGAAATCAGAACACACAAAATGGGATCCGATCGTACCAATAGATACTTCACGCAAAGTGTGTCGGTTGTGACCACCTGCGCAGCTAGAACTCATGGGACCAGTCAGGATCGGTACAAAGGCGATGGATGGATGCCAACTTCAACCCCTTTCTTGCTTGCTTGCTTGCCTCGTCGTACGATTCGGGACACTTTGTTGCAGAGACAAGGAAATCAGAACACACAAAATGGGATCCGATCGTACCAATAGATACTTCACGCAAAGTGTGTCGGTTGTGACCACCTGCGCAGCTAGAACTCAACTGAACTGATCTAGTGTCCACCTGGAGTCAGGATTGACCTCCCTCCCTCCGCACAGACGAAGCGAATGAGTGCGTGAGGAGGAGGATGATGCGAGGTCGTACCACGTTCAAGCGCTGGGCGTTGGCGACATGCTCACGGTCACATGCTCTTTCCTGGGCATGAACATGACCACGCAGACTCCAGCCAGAGCGATGGCGGCACCGGTGACGTCCCACTTATCGGGTCGATCTCCATCCAGAGCCCAGCCCCAGAGCAGGGACAGAATGATGAAGAAGCCTCCATAGGCTGCGTATGTCCGGCCGAACACCTGATCCTGGAAGGTGGGAATCACCCCATAGCCGATGAGAATTAAACTTCCGAGGACAAAGAAACCCCACGACCAATCCGCCTTACGCCATTTCCACACGAACCACCCGCCCGCGATCTCACACAATCCCGCCGCTGCGAAGAGCGCGACGGCGATGAAGACAGACTTCACCGAGCTGTCTGTCATTTCTCGCCTCTCCACCCCACTCTCGCTCTTGTTTTTCTGCGGGTCCTTAGTGTCAATCACAAAACACATCCTGCCAACACCGTTTGGCTCGTCCTTGCCATTTCAGGCTCTGGGCCCAGACTCGACGACATCCTCTGCCCCTTACCCTCCGCACGTCACGAATCAAATCGGATCTCACTTTGCACCTCGGGCCAAGCTGCCGATGCGTTGGCACACGCCATCTCTCTCTCTCTCTGCGCACGCACGCACTGCTTCCTTCGTTCCAACGAGAACGAGCGAGCGATTCTGTCTCCCTCCCTCCATCCATCCAGCCTTCGCCTTCGCCTCCGCCTCCGCCTGAAATTGGTGATTCCCATTTGACAGACTCGCGGGGAGAATCTCTCGTCGTCGTCCAAGAAGAAGAAGAAGAAGAAGAAGAAGAAGAACTTGAAGACAACCACCGATCTCCGAACCTTTGTCCGAATTATCGAAAGGCTCGTAAGGCCACACCTGCGCCGATGGAACCACGAGAGATGACGTCACGCCGCGTCGCACTTGCCGCCCTGCCAAAGATGCACCGAGCAGGCGCTTGACCCTCTCCCTTCCGAGCAAACACAGCCGGCCACCGCACCACGACGGATGGATGAATCATCAAGCGTCTCCCTCACTCCAGCTTGTAGGGCTTGTCAGGATCATGCAACAGGAACAGGATCAGGGTCAGGCACCATTTTTCAGCTCGATTCATGATCGATTCTTTCTTCGGAAACACATCTTTCTTTCCTCCAATCAATTCGATTCTCCATGAAGTCAAGTTTCTGCTTCGTCGAGCGTACGATGGCGGTCAGAGTTGTGATTGTGGTGATGCACTAACGAGGCCCCGCTAGGGCCATAATCATCGATGTTCACTCCCTCACGAGAATAAATCCTCGGAAGACAGTACTGAGTCATTATCGAATGAAATCCAGAATCTGAAGGGAATTCCTTCAGAATATAAATCTACACACATCACATGCAAGCTCGTTGTGGTGTGGCGGCTCTACCACACAGGAGACCAGCCTTGTACCGTGGTTCCCATTCAGAGCATCGGGACCGTCCAGTTAGTGACCATGGTTGTGGAGACGGCTTCTCTCACTAACCGTGGCTCCGCAGAACCCACCAGGAGAGGTGTAGTGTGCTTCAGGTGAAAGAACGCACGTCCCTATAGCCATATCCGGGTTGCAAATTAACTTCATCAAAGCTCTAGATGAATACACAAACAAACAACCAGAAAAGCAAGACGATTGATTTTTTCTTTCGCGAAGGCCCTATACTAAGATTAAAAAATCCAGAAGCATCCAGGTGGAATGTGGTGACGGAGCAATAACATGAAATGTTGGTTTTATTTATCAATATAGAGCAGATCTCATTAAAAATGTCATTTGTATTGAATTTTTTGTTTATTATGGCATTTGTATTGAAATCATCAAAATAATGATTTTAAAACTTCATACTATGTTGACTCCATGATGACTATAAAAGACACGCTGTGCAGATTCTTTTTTCAATCATTTTTCTCCCATTTCAAAACGGAGTAGTTGAATTCGACAGAGCATGTGTTTGCAAAGTCCTTTGAGGAAATGTCTTTCTTGATTGATTCGATCTAATCACATATATAGTTGGCAAAAAAATTTGTCGTAATTTTTAAAACATCGTCTTCATGACAGGTTCATTTTTAAAAGCGTTCAACAATTCATTGTGTTTTTTTTATGATCTTATCGATATACTCTAGTGATTTGTTTCTTGACATGCATTCGAAATTGATCTAGAATGTCACTGATGAATTTTTGCGTGGACCGCGTGACTATGTTGGAAGTCATAATCACGAGCATTATTGTTTGATATCTGATCCGCCTGAATCATTGATGCTTGGGTTACGATTGAAAAAGCAAAATGTCCAAATTTCCTTTATAATGTCATTTTTCATATTGTCATCCATTTTCTGGAACAAAATTTGCGTCCATGAAACTTGATCATTAATATGATCACAAATCAAATCAAATACAAAAGTAGCCAATGAATAGCATGAATTGCAAATCTTCATCCTGAACATTATTAAAGAAGCCATGCTATGTTGATACCAATTCCACTACATATATTTGACATAAACTTGTTTGATCCAATTTTGAACTACAAAATAATCATCTTGTACGCTTAGAATGTGATTTGAATGATTGTAAAAAAATAATTGAAATACGCAGTAGTGATACATCATTTATTAGATGACGTTTTTTGCCAATGCGTTGAAAAATTTAACGTCGGTTCTGTTAAATCCATTTGAATATAACATCAAATGCTATTCATTGAGCAATAATCCATCATTTATAACACAACATTTTTTTTCAATGTGTTGACAAATTTGCCGACGGTTCGGTAAAACCCATTTGAATAGATTATCAAATGCTATCCATTAGTCTTATTTTTATGCTACATAAGAGAGAAGTTCATACATAAAATTCATTTGAATATACTATCAAATGCTATCCATTGAGATTTGTTTTTATGCAACGCGAGGGATTAAGAAAGAAATTCATTTGAAGATAAACTACAACTCTAAAGATGAGAGTTATCAACGATGGATTCCTTCTCCCTTATATAATAAATCTTACCAATAAATACAAGAACATAAGATCTCATCTTCATTATAAATTTCACTCCTTGAAGATTGATGATATGGCAGATAAACCTAACAAATATAGGGATTGATGATTTGTTGGTTTCAGCTAACACACTGACTAACACATCCAATCTTATTCTAATAAGCACACGAATCGTTCCCATGACAATTATGAATGATGCACTATGAGATAACTATAACTTCATCTTGAGTAAACTTTACTTTGATTTAGTAATTAACAATGATTACAAACCTACTCTCTTTTAAGACGCAATGTTCTCGTCTCACATCCCTTCAAATTCTTGAACTATCAATGATGCATTATCTAAATTTCTTGATGGTTTCTAAGTTGTTTAGGTAGGATATATATACTGTTTATTGGAAAAATCTCTGGTTTGGGATATTTTTGGCCACAAATTTGTTTCTTGAGTATCTTTTTTACCTCAAATTTTTCATGATCAACTATCAAGTTTGGCAGAACATGTAACATTGATTGCATTGTGAATTATTTTGATTGTTATACATGTTTTTGCAATTGTGATACATGAAATACAGGATGTATATTCATAGGCGATAGATATTTTAACGTGTATGACACTTCACCGACATATTTCAATGTCACAAAAAGATCCATGAATCTAGAGCTAAACTTTGATGTTCCTACAAAACAAAACCAAACATTATCTTCTATTTGAAAAATCAAATTCTCACGATGAACATGCACATGTTGTTTTTAGTTTAATTTGAACCATCAACAACTTTTACTTTGCTTGATGTAATTTTCAGTGTATATGCTCGAGAAATCATTGACTACAGCTATTTTGATTGAAATTGCTTTTCTTTCAAAAGATTTTTAAAAAAGTTGATGAATCAAACTTGATGAAATAATAAGATGAAAAGTGTACATGAGGTAGAATGTAGACATCTTTGTAGATGCAATTACAAAGTTATTATATGCAAATTTCACAAGAAACAAAAAAGAATCTCACTCTTCTTGCTACTCTAATGTGAATGTCTATAACATACACTCTACAGAATTTCAATAACTCTCTCCGTTTGATCATCAGTTCGAATGTGATAAGCCGTTAAACTTGCTAGTTTTGTTTTGAAAAAATTGAACAAAAGTTTCCAAAACAAATTAATGTAAAGAGTATCTTTTTCAATAATTAACACTTTGTTCAATCCATGATTCACAAAAAAGTCATCTAAGTACAATTGAACAAGTTTTGCAACCGACACGGTTGTTGTGCTTAGTCTAATTTAATCATCTTGTTCAATTTATCTACAAAAACCACAACTAAATCATTTGCTAGCAAAGTTTTGATAATTCATATACCAAATCTAAGATGACATGTTTCAATTTTTATTTTGCAATGGTAAGAGTTATAATCAACATGCTAGTTTTTATTACTTGTCTTGTTTTGTTTACAAGGTGCACAACTTTGAACATAAACTTTTACATCTTCTTGTATTTTAGGCCAATAGTAAACTTGTTAGATGCTCTCCAAGAATTTTTTTCATTCTCAAATGGCTTGCACTGGATGTATATTTAATTTTTGGATAAAATTCTTGTGCAAAATTCTTGGTTTTGCGTAATCCATATTCGTAATTTGTAGAACGTCAAACCTCTAGACTTATTTTGCTTTTACATCTTGTAATGCGCTTATGATTTTTTCATTCTGCTTTGTGACATGTGTCATTTTGCTCCACCAATCCGCTTGAATCTTCACTTATGTAACATGATTAATAGATGATATGTGTGTGAGAGCATTCACATTTTATTTGTATCCTTCACATATACAATCTTCATGTTAAAACGTTGACATTACTCTACTAATCAAATTTATTAATTAGACAAATACTTCTGAGTTTTCAAATAAACTAAGGATTCATGATCATTCTTCACCACAAACTTCTTATCATCCAAGTAATGCTTCCAATGTTATGTTGTTAACACAATGATTAATTCCTTGTGTGTTGTGTGGTAATTTTATTCCGCTACCATCAACTTGCTAGAACTAAAATCAATTGGATGTCATAAATACTTTCATTCTTGTTGGATTATGTCACCAACTGTTGTATCTGACACATCAGTATCTAACTTGATAGATCAATCATGATCATACCACTTGAGTATAGTTGCATGTAACAAAGCATCAAGGCTTGAAAAGTTAATTCTTAAGTTGTACTTAGGCCTCGGCGAGGTAAGGTAACCTTTTAGGGTTATCCGCTAAAAGGATAAAATGTTAGGGTAAAAGTTAAAGATTTGGCTATAGCGTAAGATAAAGGCAGAGCCAAATGGATTACCATGTAATTACCGGGTAATCCTTGTACTCGCAAAAAACAAAAACGTGGAAATTTTCAAAATTACTCAGAATGTAATTCTGCACATTCTCCCTTGAGACGAGATCCAGAAAACAGCAATGCCAGTTTAAGCCAAATTGGTAATTCCATTCGCAATTGTTATTCTTGTGAAAGCACAAAGTGTAGATAAGGAGTTAAAATTTAAGCTTTTGCACTTGACGACCTCTGACACAGATGATCTGGAGAGTTTTCATTCCATCACGGAACTGGATCAAGGAGAAGAAGTGAATGAAGTGCTTGATGAGTTTTTTGATAGCAATTATTCATGAATTCATTACTTCCATAAACTCCTTCCATAAAGCAATAATTTGTAGTACTCCATGGTACATCAATGATTACAAGTCAGCATTTTTATTCTTTCCCTACTTTTTGTTGTTCCACTATGTCTTTTATTTGATGTCCGATCATTGGCAATGAAGCTTCTTATATCACTAGATTACATGATCGATTAGTACAGCCTGTGGTGCCTAGTTTTTTGTTTTTCTTCAAAAATTAACAAAAACTTAAACATATTTGTGTAGAGTGTAGACATATCAGATTATATAAGTCAGAAGTGATAGAAGTAGAAGACTTATGAGAGATTCAGTTAGAATTCGCCTTCGGCCGAAG